ATGTTATTTTTATATAAATACTGACTGAATACTAATTAAAAAATTGAAAATATTTTAAATTTTTTAGTTAAAATTTTAAAAATTATTAATAAAAACCTTGTAATATAAGTATTTATTGCTTTATTAACTTCTTAAACTATCTTAAACTTATATTTAAATTGTAATATGATTATTCTTTTCAACAAATAGGTAATTTTTAATTTTTTAGTTTAATATTTTAATTAAAATTATGATATTTTTAGATGAGTTTTAACGTTATTTTAACTTTTTTACTTATTTTTAATCAATAATTAGATTCTTATAAATATTAAAAACATAAAAACACTTACTAAAATAGTATCAACTAAAATTAAAATTTTTATAAATTTAAAAAAAATTTTCGAACCGAAATTTTAGGGGGGGGGTCATTTCTCGTCGTTTTTAAGCGACAATTTTTCCAATTTAGTCAAAAAGTCTGGGGGGGTAAAATCCCAATTTCTCGATCTTAGGGGGGGGTATTTTGGCCTTACCCCCCCTACCCCCCCCCCCCCCCTTACTTAACCCTGATACTGTATATATATATATTAGTTAGGATTTAACAATTTGCTTTTATGATTAATTTAGTTAACTAATAATAAAATTTAAAATATTTTAAGATAAATTTTAACAAACATTTTTTCTTTCTAAAATTTCAATCTACCATAAAATTTGTTTTACCATAAAATAAGTTATTTGATATAACCGATCCGTTTTCACATCTAATTTACAATATTATCGATTAATTATAATATTTTATATAATGATGTGCTTCTATGCTTTGAAATGTATTAATTATTATAATTATTATTATTATTATTATTATTATTATTATTATTATTATTATTATTATTATTATTATTATTGCAATGTTAATTAACCAATAATTAATAAACCATTAAAAATGATAATCAATTGACGTTATAAAAATATTTTAATAACTTTAAAGATTTATCTATATGATGATGATGATAGACAAAACATTTAAATTTCTTTATTTATTTATAATGTATTTTATCTGAGACATGAAATTGAGATAAAAATTTTTTTATAGTTTAGTATTATAAAATTTTTATACATTTCTATGGACTACACAACTATAAGTTGAATAATAATAATAATGATAATAATAATAATAATAATAATAAAGCAATTGTTTGGTCGCCCACTCCATCATTAAATGAATGGCTATTATTATGTGATAGAGTTATGCATTAGTCATGACTTTAATATACAATATATACTGTATATATACATAGGGATCCTTGAAATGAGATTATTATTATTAATATAATTATAGATAAATTTTTATGTGTTTTGTTATGTGTGTGCGACTATGTATTGTCTCTCTCATTGCACTATATTTTATGTGAATTCAAATGAATAGACACCAGTATATTGTTATACATATAAATTACATATATATTGTTATTATATATATATATTTTTGATAATTTGATCGATAATTAAATACTTGTGCACAAAACTCCTGGCCATCTATTAGATGATAGTTTTATTGCAGTTTTCTCATTAGTACAGTAGTAGTAGTAGTAATAGTAGTATTGGTGCTATTATTACTGTGTGATAAAAAATAATAATAGCAAATTAAAAATATTTATCATTTATTATCTCCCATTACATCTGACATTCATAGATATAATTGAAAAAAAACTCAATTTCAACAACAAACAAAAAAAAACATTGTCTAATATGATACAGTATTTTAATTATTAAAACAATCGAAAAAAGAAACTTTAATTTTTAAACACATTTATTAATATTAATCTCTATGGCAAATGTATTTAAGTTTTATGGCATAATGTCAAATATTTATTACCAATATATTATGTTTTAATGTACTGTATATACAGTATACTGTAAATATATTTATATATTTTTACTCTCATTTACAGACATAAGTGTAACTAATTTTTTGTTTGACAAACTTTATTTAAAAATATGTTTGTTTGTTATTTTAGATAATCAGTAAATATAGAGATGATGGCACCGACAACATCATTAGAAACGGTTACTATTGTCAGGCCATTGAAGGTATGTCCCATTTGTTTTGTCTATTGATTTTTTTTATCTCATTAATATTTTATTAATAATATACAGTACACTATAAAACTTAAATTGTGTGTAATCTATATTTATATCATAATAATAATAATAATATAAAATTTATAATTTTTATACTTGTTTGAGTCAAATGTACCATTAAATTGTTAATGTATTGTAAAATGATATATTAGTTTTGTTACTTATTTTTTTGTGAATATCATATTTCTTTTAACTAATAGACTGTTTATACTATTAATATACTGTGTTTTACTATAAATTTCTGTGTGTTAATTAACAACAGTTAAAAGTTGTATTTTATGTATAACAAACATTTAACCAAATTAATTAACATTTAACACCATTTGTTGTGTTATTATTGGTTTGTAATTATATTATATATTTAAGATTTTAAAACATTTAAACATTTAGATAAAAATCCATTTAAATGACATTTTTTCATTTCCTAGTTAATCATAAATTTAATTGAAAAACACTATAAACTCTAATTTTATTTTGCTTATTAAAATATATAAAGATTTATATTTAGATTTATAATGTGTTTTGTATTTTGATTTTCATAATAATAATACAATACCGGTATAATAATAGTAATAATAATAATGCTATGAAATGTTAGATACTTAGTAGTAGTTAATTTAGAGCCCATAAAATTCAATTAAATTTTCATACAAAACAGTGTTTTTCTCATTAAAACAATTGTTTCATTAGGAAAACGAAAATTTTAATTAGTTTTCAGCTAAATGTCTGAAATATATATAATAGTCATTAATATTTGGATCTTTACTATATATATATAAATATATCAATAGTAATATTTTGTTTTATTTTTATTTCTATGGTTATATTAATTAATAATTATCTTATTTTTGAGTGTTAACAATTGTATTTAACAACAACAAAAAATGATAATAATATGCCATAAATTGATTGTCATACAAAATGTTGATCATTGATGGTATTTTAATTATATATATTAGTAATGTTTAATATATTTGGTATTTTTTTAATATTTTCAATTTATTTATATATAGCTAGTTTAGTATTATTTATTTATTTATATTTTGTTTAATAGCTAACAGAGAATATTAATAAAAAATAATATATTTTTATTTATATAATAAATGATAAAAGGATTGCTGTATTGAAAGCATAATTAATTGTCTCACTCTCTATATTGTCTCGCAATTGCTTGTTGTCTATGTGTTTGTCTAAGTAATATAAAAAGCTTTCGGCTATTATTTATAAATGTGTTTTGATTGAGAGCACCGGGAGTTTATGAAAGGGAAGGGGGGAGTGATTGAGACTGTCGTACATATTGGTGTAAATGGAGTGTTATATACATTATATACAAACATATATATAATATGTATAGTGTTTTTAGTGTGTTATTCCGGTATACAGAATAGGAATTTAAGTCAACGATTCTCTCGGCTATAGTTTTGTTGCAGTGAAGCGTTATTAAGGGCGTACTCTATGGGCATAAAGTCTATGCCAACTGTAACGGTATTATAACCCGAGTAGTAGTGTTGTCTCCCTTTCCTTACAAACAAACATCACTTTACACTCTCCAACTAACTCACTCACTCACCCACACACTCACATAGCTTCCCATCTCTACATCCAATTCCTAATATATTAACAACAAAACTAGTACTTACAGTACCAGTGCCCGTGTTTTTCCGAGTTGTCTCAGTTATCTCTCTCTCTCTCTCTCTCTCTCTCTCTCTCTCTCTCTCTCTCTCTCTCTCATTCACAATACTATACGTAATGGTTGTATTACTTACTGTACACCAGAATTGAATAGTTTATTATTTTTTGCTATACATTGACATGTCGTTTGTACGGCAGAATCCATTGTTGGACTCCCAACTCGACTATACAGTGTATACCCACCACCAAAAAAAACCATTGCTGGCACAGGCAGTGCACTTGTGTATGTCGACAGTCGGTTTCAGCACTACTTAACAGTAATTGATTTCCTCTGACTTAGCAATTCATAAATACAAACATATATTTTGTGTGATCATCAGAAATAAAATAAAAAAATATATGTAATAATAATAATATATTGTGTGTATATAATCAAATCAATCACAAAAAATGTTTTCATGTGTCGTTGATTTGAATAAAATCTAAATTTTTATTACACACACAAACACATCATTATAATACCGGAATATATATATGTATATATATTCAATATATTGAATTTAATGTTTAATTCAGATAAATAATTTTATTTTCTTGATGTTTGGCATCTCTCCCTCAAATGTCAATCAAATATATATATATATATATATATTTATCTCTGACCGACAAATGTGGTGACAGTTAAACACAGTTTATAACCAATAACAACAACAAAACATATTCATGAGATGACAATCATATATTGAAATGAATTATCAATAATAATGACAAGAAAATTGTATAATTTATCAGAAAATATGTTAAAAATACTAATTTTCAATTACTAACTGATTAACTATTATTGCATTAATAATAATAATGACATACAATTGTGACCATCAAATGCTATTAAAATTTAATTATTATATAAATCATTTGTTTAAAACCATTTATTGTTGTATCTAATAATATAGATTTTGTTTTGTTTTTAATTAATGAAACACTTTGTTGTATATTAATAATTGTTGAATTATCTGCACATATGTTATTTAAATGTAGTAGTTGTTGATTGATTTGTTTGAAAAAATATGTTTAAAAAAACTTCAAGTCATATCAATTAATATCAATTTCCAATGTTTTAAATAATTAAGTGATCACATGACAAATCAAACCAAAAATCAAGAGTAGATAATAAACAAAATTATTTTATTTAAAATAATAATTTTTTTAAATGTTAAATATTTATTGTTAATAATAAATTACAAAAGAAAATTAAAAAGAAATGAATGGACGAGTACTTCAACAAAATATAGTCAGTTATGGTAATCCAATGATGAGCGCCGGTCCCAGTTGTCAACAACAACAGCCGGTCGCCGCCAATCCATACTATAGTCGACAGCACAACAACAATGAATATCAAATTGAAGAACGAATCGAAGTTATTGAGGAACGGGTGCCGGGATGTTGTTTTGTGTCCACTATTTGGCGCAAAAATTGCAATATATTCAGGGTTTGGACACTAAAACAATTATTATTTTAAAATAGATATTTGTTTTTTGAAATTGTTTGTATAAACACCTACATGTTATTTGTCGAAATTTTTTTGTTGTTGTTTAAAATAGTACTCTAATATTTTTTTATCATTAATTTCAATGTCATTTAATTTATTTTTAAAAAAATGTTTTTAAACATTTGACTCAAACTATATGGTAAAATGAGAGTGTATTTGTGAATATGTGTGTAAATGTTTACACAAATGAATTTTTTTAGATATTTATAATTATATCATAAATGCTCATAAATTTATGATTTTAAATAATAATATATTAATGTGTGTTTACATAATTTTATATTAAATATTATTTTAAAGCAAATAATTGGCAAATTGTCAACATTTAAGATAATATTTAGATATTATTTAGATTTACAATATATATAGGTTATAGTACTGTTCACATTATTTACTATAAATTAGTAATTTATTAGATCTTAATAAAATATTTATCAATTTAATTAGTTAATTATTTTATAGTTTACAAATTAACTTATAAATTAATTAACATTTGTTGTCTCATTTTCCACATACAGGTCATAGCATTAATATGCAGTTTTTTCGTTGATTTTTTGATATTATTATCATTACTATCGACCAATTGGTTGACAACAAATAAATATAGACAAGGATTGTGGCAATTCTGTATCGATGCCGACAGTCCACGACCGCTGCCATTTGGTCTACAAGACCCGGATGGTTGCCATTGGGGACGGGATGCAGGTAATGATTACAACCAATATAATGACAATCACTGATTAGTTTTTGTTGTTAGTATGCTATGTGAAAGCAAAGCCAGTTAGTGTGTGTGTTTGCAGTTCAAAAGTTATATAAATAAAATATAATGATATATACAGTATATATTTATATATCACTAATCGGATAAAAAAAATCAGTGATACAATTGACATATAAATCCTCTGACATAATAAACAACATGACTTTCCTTTTTTTATAATCCATATTAATATTATTAATATTATTATTAGCTTATATACGATTGTCGGGTTTCTTCTGCATCTCGTGTTTTGTGTTGACCTTATCGGCCACTATTCTCACGGCTTTTGGCCTCTCGAGTCGTGACCCGAACCGAAAGTACACATTTTATCGTTTTGCCCTTTACATCAATTTAGCAGCTCGTAAGTCATGCCCTCATCGATATCGACCCTTAAATTACTATTATTACACTATAATTAATGACTTTTTTTTTCTCTCTCTATAATTGATTTGACTCAACAACACCATCACCACAATCACCAGTGCTGGCAGTGATAGTGGCGCTAACATTATATCCGGCCTTTTTCTATAATGAATTACACCATTCAGACTTAGTGCCCGCCAATCGGCCGCTTTGGTACTTCGGTTGGGCGTACGGTGTGGGCTGGGGTGCGGCCATATTCCTTATCGGAGCCATACTATTATTGGTTTGCGACAAAGAGACTGAAGAGATCTACTACAAGGAGAGAACTATTCTTCATAATAATCACAACAACTCAGCGAAAGCGTAACATTTGAAAGACATTTTCAATAACAACAAAAAACAGATAACTTTTTAGAGGATATGGAGTCTCCTATTTCTTCAACAAACTTAAACAAAACAAAACAAAAAGATCTTAAAAATACATATACTGTTATACAAAAAAAAGTTATGTATTGATTATAATCTCATAAATATATATATTTTGAACCTAATAATTAAGCTTTGAATCTAATGGATAATCTGTAATTTATTTAGAATATTATTGTTTTCTCATATTATATAAATATATTTATTTATTATGTATTATAAATGATTTTTTTTTAAAAAAGAGGATAACATAAATCTCGAAATTTTATGTTAACTTTTAACCAAAAATGAAGTGCAAAACAGTGTATTATATTTGTATTATTATTATTATTAATATAAGATTATATCAAAAAATACATATACGATTCCAATTATAATTATTTTAAAAAATAATAATAATTTAATTTAAACAAATCAAACAAAATCAAAAAAATTAATATCATTCAACTATCTATTAATGAGTTAATTTTTCTCTATATCTCTTTCTCTATCTATTATTAATTATTTATTTATTTGACTGATAATATATATATTATAATAAAAAGAGTGACAATAAAATTTACTATTATTAACAATTATTTAAGTTTCAATTTATTTAAATATTCATATAATAAAAATTAAATTATAAAATATTGCAATAAAAATATATCAAAAATTCATCTCGTTTTTCCATTAAAGAGAAAAACAATTAACTATTATTATTAAATGATTTTTTTAAATAAATATTAATTTATATAAATATATAAATATATATTAATTATAAATACTAAACATAAATGTTTATCATATCATTATTATCAATCACTCAATAATTAATAACATTATCAATGGCACCCACACATTGATGGCCACCAATATGAATGTGTCTAACAAACAAACAAACCAACAATAAAAAAAATTTGATGGATTTAATTATTAATTGATACAATTAACATATCGGGGGGGGGAGAGAAGGGTGGGTGAGGAGGGGATAATCGGGTAATTAGTTGCGCACAATTCCGGGCAATTGTTTAGGATTGGACAGACAACAGGCGATCAAATAAAATACACCGAAATAGAGGTTAAGTTTGGCCATATCTCGGGGCAAATATCTAAGATTTCCGCCGCGAAATTGTTTCTCCAAATCGAAAGCACTTTTTATGGTTATTAGCGGTAATAATAACCACAACGAGTACTGAATACTAGTAACACAAAATAGTATGTATGGTATAAATAATAGAAGAGCGAACAGTATGTGTGAGAGCTGATGGCCAATCAGTACGGCCAGAGTCATACAGCCGGCCCGTCGGTCAGATTCAATGTCTCGGGTATTGTTCGAGTGTAGTATGGCTTCCGTATTAAGCGCCAACGGTATGGCATAGATCAATGAGGCCATGTTTAAGTTACCTATCGGTGCAAATTCATATGAAATACAAGTTATTTAATTGACACTGAAATGGTATCCATATATATATAATCGATAATAATATCTAAATTACCGGTTTGGGCGACAAACGCGTACAGTACGGCCACCGGCCCGAACGTTACCATAATGATGATGTCACCCAAAGCTATATATTTGAGACCAATGCCACCCGTATAGAGAAATGAAAAGCTGAGACCACCGAAGTAGAGGACGGCCAACAATTCCATTCGGGCCGGACTGACGAACACGACTATTACAAAACCGATACAACCCATGATGTATGAGAGGACACCTGTTTTTGAAACAATCTGTTAGATATCATATCATATGAATCAATCAAATCAGTCATATATTACCCAAATTGACCACTTCTTCGGGCTTCAGAATTGAGTCGACAAGAGTGCGGTCATCGGCGCGACGTTTCGAGTCTATGCCTTTCATAAAATCGCAATACGTGTTGACCAGATTGCCGGCCGCGTGTACCGACACCACTGTCAACAGTGTAGCTATCAGTGTGACCAACGAAAACGAATCGGTCGCTTTGTAGGCCAGAACAGTACCGAGAAGTACTGGTGTCGACGAGGCCGAGAATGACCACGGCCTCAGTGCCACCAAATAGTGATGACATCGACTCAAATACGACACCAATACCATTACTGTTTGGATCCAATCGCTGGTGTCTGTCTGTCTGCCCTAATCGGTGGCTGCGGTGGTCAATAAAACACACGTACGGGTCGTTATAATCGACCAAACAATGTATATTGCAGTCAATGTAATCAAACAAATAACAAAAAACACACTAATTATTACTAATTAGTCGACAATCTATTGGCCAACAAATGATTCAACAATTTTTTTTTTTTTGATTGCAGTGTTAGTAATCACATCAATACAATCCAACAAAACTATTATATATTTTTAATGTAAAAAATATTAAAATACAAAAACTATTTAAATGCAAACAAATTTATGTTTGACTTTGAAATAATAATACAAACGGATCATAAAAAAAATATTATTATAAATAATGATATTATTTGCAGATATTTATAATTTTGTTTCGAGTTTATTAAAAATTATTATTTTTTAATAACTTTTTTTTTAATTAAAAAATAAATGATGATATTATCCTAGTATATAACCTGTATATATATTTTCATATACAGTAAGTAATTTTATACGTGTATTTAAATGGCATTTCAAATATGTTTGTATTTTAATGTTATAAATGTAATAAAATAAAAACTTGTTGTCACTGTATATCTACTGTATATATCTATGTATATACAGTATATATATATACATATGTATGTAATTTATATATCTCTATCCTGTAATTTATTGTATGATAATATTATACAGTATTATTATAATTGAGTTTTATATGCAATTTTTTTGCGGTTAAAATTAAGAGGTTTTTTGTTGTAAATATTACACATTAAATATATATTTATTTAAATATATTAAAACACTAAAAAAATATATTTATAAATCATATATAATGTTAAATTGAATGAATAATCATAATATGTTGTATATATATATATATACTGTATAATTAATGAACTAAAATACAGGTATTTATTATAAATACATTATTACTGTATTAAAGTACAGTAAATACAAAATGTGTAAACTTTTATATAATACACAAATAATGTCTTAAATTAAATGATTATTTCAATAGAAGTATGTGTTTAAAGGGTTGTTAAATAATAGTGACATTATTTATGTCAATGCTATACAATATTTATCTGTTTATGTGATAAATAATAAAAATATTATTGTATTTATTATTATTATTATTATTATTATTATTATAATGTAAACTAAATTCACGTTTTTGTTTACATTGAATATTACAATAAGTTTTGTTTTGTTGTTATTATTATTGATAAACATTTTTAATCATAGGTTTTAACAAATCATTAATACATTTAATAATATTTTAAGACAAACAGTCCGACCGGTGGCCACCAATCGGCGGCAGCGGCTGTAATCATCGACTTGAAAAAAACATGTCCAAAATTCAGATGTCGACAATGTCCAGACACGACAAACTGGACCCGACTTCGTACGACTGGCCATTCGAGTCGATTATCAGTACGGCATTGGCCGACCTGAGGTCACGCGATGATACCAAACGACTTAAAGGTATTCACTGTTTGCGTCAATACATCAATCAAGACATGACCGAAGTTACCGACGAAGAGCTAAAAGCTTTCTATAACTTATGCGTTACGAAGATCTTTGATCTGATGTTGGGTTCGGGCGCTAACAACCCGAACGACATTAAGGCCGGTATTGTTGTTATGTGTATAATATTGGACTCGACGTCGGCATTGGTCGATAAGGCCAAACCCAATATATACGCACCGTTTGCCAACCATTTGCGTAATCTTAACCATAACTTTTCCGACAACGAACTTCTGGATCTGTCAGCCTGTGCTGTCGGTAAGATTGCCGTCAACATCGAAATGGCCGCCAATTTTGTCAACTTTGAGATCGCGAGGGCCAACGAAATCATTAATACTGATAAAAATGAAATCAAAAAACATTCGGCGGTAAGTTTGCCGAAACAAACAAAAAAATAACTTAGATTTAAATGACTTTATACTAACAGGTCCTAAATCTTCGAGAGTTGGCAAACGTAACGCCGATCTACTTCTTTAGTCAAGTAAATTCGTTTTTCGATAACATATTTCTGGCCATAAATGATCCAAAAATACGCGACTCAGCGGTCTCTGCGTTACGTTCGGCACTGTTTGTTGTCTCCGAAAGGGAGCGCATATCGCACGACCTTAAAGGCAACAAAAGCCGTATCGATCAACAAATACCCAAATGTTTTGATGTCTGTTTTGCTGAAGTCAAGAATGGCTTCGAAGTAACCGATCGTAAAGAAAAAGACGACAAAGTGTTGACATCGCTGTTGATACTCAATGAGCTCTTGAGAATATCTAATGATTCCGGTATTTGAATTTGATATTTGAAAAGTTAATATTACCGGTAATAATAAAATTAATTTACAGGAGATGTCATTTGTAGAGAATTGGAGCTAAAATACAGTCAAATAATTGAAAATCAAAGCCAAAGTACATCGAGAAGTAATCAACTTTCGAAACTATTCAGAAATAATACACACATTCAGACACAGTCGTCGTCGGTTCCATCGTATGGTATGCGAGAGTTGAGTGCAGTCGTCAAATACCACAAAGAGATGGGTATCGCACCCATACCTGTATCACATAACAAGTAATTTGTTGATATAATTAATGGCAATTTTTTCATCTAATGTTTCATCAAATTTTTGTTGTTGTTTTAAATCTAGATATCGTCCACCAAAACAAAGCCAAACGTGTCGACAAATGTTACTCAATAACTTTGATTATCTATGCAATCAAGTTATGTCACAACTTAGACAAAAAAACACTCATAATATAAATCACATTCTATTGGCTGTCATTCCGAGTTTGGCCGCTCTGAGTCCCGAAAAGTTTGCGTCCACTGACTCGGTTTATGTTAAGGAATCGATTAATTATTTGTTAAATAATTTGCGGGTAATTCCGGCCCGATCTCTAGCTTTTATTTCGTTAGGTAATCAGTTATTTGATTATATAGTTATATAGTTTTATTTATGAAGCTAATTTACCGGTAAATGATATTTTAATAGGACTTTTGGCTATTGCTATAAAAAGTGTGAAAAACGATATTTTTAAGCACCAATTGGCGCATATATTGGAAACTATTCGTCTAACACTTCCGGCCAAAGAGCATCAGCCAAAGAAGCGACCACTACCCGATCCTACAGTGTTCACATGTTTGGCACTCCTAAGTCAGGCTGTAGGCGATGATATCAAAAATGACATCAAAAGTGATCTTTTGGATGCCATGTTTGCCACCGGCTTATCCGAAGCATTGGCCGCAGCACTACACGAGATATCCAAATATATTCCTTTACTCAAAAAGGACATTCAGGACGGACTGTTGAAAATGTTGAGTCAAATACTGATGAAAAAGGCGTACGCAATGCCAGGTCTTCCTAAACATTTGCAAAACAGTTCATTGTCTTTCAATAGCGAACCAATTGATACTCAGGTTTTTTTTGAAAACTAAACATATATTGAGATATATTTTATTTTATTACACTATTAGGTAATTGTTTTTATTATTTTTAATTACAGACAACTATTCTCGCACTCAAAGTGTTAGGTCAGTTTGATTTCGAGCACCGGCCACTTATGCAATTTGTTCGCCATTGTGCCGATACATATCTAACCGATGATAATCGGGAAGTCAGACTAGAAGCTGTTCATACGTGTTGTAAACTACTATATCCTGCGCTGAAGAAAGTTCAGGATAAACATTCACAAACACTGGTCATTACAATTCAAGTAAATAGACATTAATTTTGATATCAAATTAATTTACCGGTAATTGTGAACTTAAATTTGATTGTTTTGTTTTATTTAAAGGATGTTTTGTCCAAATTACTGATTGTCGGCATAACTGATGTCGACGTTTACGTTCGCTATTCAGTACTCTCAAGTCTTGACGAAAGATTTGATCAACACTTAGCTCAGGCAGAAAATCTGAACGCACTGTTCGTATGTCTCAACGATGAAGTATTTGAGATCCGTGAGCTGGGCTTATGTACTATCGGTCGACTCAGTAGCTATAATCCCGCTTATGTTATGCCTTCACTGAGAAAAGTAAACAAAATTAGTTAATAATATACAGATATCATAGATAAGTGTTGCAGATATTTATTATAATTGTATTATTATTATTCACAGGTTTTGCTTCAATTGTTAACCGAATTAGAATATTCTGGTATTTGTCGTAATAAAGAGCAAAGCGCTAAAATGTTAGGCCATTTGTTGGCCACAACTCCGCGACTAATTAGGCCATACACTGAACCCATACTTAAAGTATTTTTGCCAAAATTGAAAGATCCGTCACAGGCTGTGGTTACGGCCGTACTTTCAGCCATTGGTTGGTTACACACAATAATATTTAGATTCTGTTGTATTTTTTTCTTAATTATTTTGTTTTACTTTTTTTTAATCAAAATATTAGGTGAACAGGCAATGGTAAGCGGCACTGAAATGAGGAAATGGATCGACGAATTGTTTCCTATAATATTAGATGCCATACAAGACTCGTCATCTCAGCAGAAGCGCGAAGTAGCTCTCTGGACATTAGGCCGTTTAGTCGAGAGCTTAGGCTATGTGGTTGAACCGTATTGGAAATATCCCAATCTATTGGATATATTATTTAATATATTGAAATCAGAGTCGTCTCAAAATTCACAACTAATAAGACGCGAAACCATTAGAGTTTTGGGACTACTCGGTGCTGTTGATCCCTATCGACATAAAGTAAATCTGGGAGTCATTGACCAATCGGGTGATCCATTGATAGCTCACGATCCTATTGTTGAACAAGATATCAATGCACACGAAATGTTAGCCAACTTTGCAGCCACTTTTGACGACTTTTACTCAGCTCAGGCTATTTCAACATTAATGAGAGTAATGAGAGATCCGGCTCTCAGTGCTCACCACACGATGACCGTACAGGCCGTAGCTTTTATTTTCAATGTTTTAGGTGTCCGATCGGTGCCATACATTCAACATGTTTTACCCCCTTTTATTAATGTTATTCGCACGGGTGAACCCCATATTAAAGAGGTATGGATTTTAATAGATACTGATTACATATACCGATACTTAGATAATATATGAAATACTGAATATTATTTTTTTATATAGTTTTTATTGCAACAATTGGGACAAATCATAGCTATCGTAAAGATACATATCCGCAACTATTTGGAGGACATATTCAAAGTTGTCCGCGAATTTTGGACAACAAACTCACCGATGCAGACAACCCTAATCAATGTAGTCGAACAAATTGTTATAGCACTGGGAGGCGAATTCAAGATATATGTGCCATATCTTATACCACATATACTGCGAGTGTTTGCACACGACAAGAGCTTACGTCGCAGTGTAACCGTTAAATTGCTCAGTAATTTAAAAGATATATTTATTTTTAATTAATTAATTTTATGGTTAATTATTAATTTTTTTAAAACTGTTTCTTTTTTCATCAATTGTCTCATCAAAATAGATGCTCTTCAAAGTTTTGGTACAAATCTTGACGACTATTTGCATCTATTGATGCCACCAATTATCAAATTATTTGAATCGAATGATATCAAAGATAATGACGTGAAAATAGCTGCACTCAAGACCATTGATGTTCTCTCAGAAGATCTTCAGATCACTGATTTAGCTCCGAGAATAATACACGCAATCGTACGGACCATTGATAACAACACTAACAATGAAAAGGTTTTTTATACAATATTTTTTAGTAAAGTTAATAATTTAAAGTTATGTGTATTAATGTATTAACTAATTTAATGAATACATTAGGATTTAGTAAATCAAGCGATGGATACATTGAGTGCTGTTGTAATGCAATTGAATAAAAAATATCAGATATTTATTCCGATGGTTAATAAAGTGTTGCAAAAGCACAAAATAAATCATCAAAAATATGATATATTGATAACAAAGATAAGCGACGGATCCGGTATTAATGACGCTGAAGACGATCCAATTATGTCGATTCGTCGAAACAATAAAAAAGGCAGAAATCAGTTAAAGGATCCGATGGGTTCAGTACCAGATCCCAAACGAAATCAAGTACAGCTTTACGACTTGCAAAGGGCTTGGAATCAATGCTCCCGACGGGTGTCTAAAGAAGATTGGCTCGAATGGCTTAAAATACTGAATATAGATTTGATTCGCGAATCGCCTGCTTTAGCCATCAGATCATGTTTTCCATTGGCTCAGGCGTGTAGTTCTGTGGCCAGAGATCTATTTAATCCGGCATTTCTTAGCTGTTGGAATGAATTAAGTGAAGATCATCAACAGGTATTACCACTTGAAAAAAATTGATAATTTTAATTCACTGTATATTTATTTAATATTATCGCTAATTAAAAACCATTTATGAAAATATTCAGGAACTGATTACATCAATACAAGACGCACTGATGCAACAGGACATACCTGAAGTGACAGGAATTTTACTAAATTTAGCCGAATTTATGGAACACGTGGACAGAGGACCACTACCGCTGAATGAGAAGACATTAGCCGAAAGAGCACTCAAGTGTCGAGCCTTTGCCAAAGCACTTCATTATAAAGAAGAAGAGTTTCACAAACAGGCGACCACTGAAGTGTTGGGCGCACTCATCAGTATTAACAACAAACTACAGCAACCGGAAGCTGCCGTCGGTGTCCTAGAGTTTGCCAATAAAAATCAATTTAACGACATTGAAGTTAAAGAGCGCTGGTATGAGAAGTTACACGACTGGGAAAATGCATTGAAAGCTTATAAACTAAAATCAGAAAAGGATCCAAAAGATTACGAATCAATTGTCGGACAAATGAGATGTTTGGAAGTGTTGTCCGAATGGAATAAGTTATATAATTTAGCTCAACAATCGTTTTCCGATATTAATCCAGAATATAAACAAAAGATGGCCCGAATGGCCGCTACTGCTGCCTGGGGTTTGGGTCAATGGCCACATATGGAAGAATATACGAAAAATATAGCTTCCGATACACCCGATTCAGCCTTTTATCAGGCAGTACTACAGGTTCACTATCAAAACTATGGAAAGGCACAGGTATTGATAGATAAGGCCAGAAAACTAATCGACACCGAACTAACAACAATGGCCGGCGAGTCATACAACCGGGCCTACGCTCCTATGGTTCAGGTGCAGATGATGTCCGAATTAGAGGAAGTGATTCAATACAAGTTGGTTCCCGAACGACGAGAAATGATTAAACAAAAATGGTGGCACCGATTGCAGGGTTGCCAGCGATCAGTAGAGGACTGGCAAAAGATAATTCAAGTTCACTCTCTGGTGTTGACACCACACGACGACATGCACTCATACCTCAAGTTTGCCAAACTATGTCAACGTAGCGGTCGTTTACAGTTATCTTACCGTACATTAGTCAGTCTTATGAATACCGATGCATCGAAACTAGGTATGAGTTATTGAATGATTAATTTTTTTATAAAAATTAATTATCAATATTTTATATTACCGTAATTCAAACAGAACCGGGTTTTCCACTGCCAACTACCTATCCTCAGGTAACGTTCAGATACATTGAACATCTGTGGATTTCGGGCGAAAAAGAGGAGGCATTCCAACAATTAGCTCACTTCACACAAACGGCACAAAACATTCACTTTATGAGCGGCGATGAAAGTCAACAATTGAATCAACGAAACGATTTGAATAAACTATTGTCTCGATGTTATCTCAAGTTAGGTCAATGGCACGAAAATCTTCAGGGAATCAACGAGGAGTCCGTAAACACTATACTTAATTATTACTTGGAGGCCACTGAACGGGACAACAATTGGTACAAAGCGTGGCATTCGTGGGCTTATATGAACTTTGAAGCCGTCAACTTCTTTAAGGTTTTTTCAATTTTTTTTTGTTTTCTAATAATTAAGTATACAATTACGGGTAGTCATAATATATTATTGATTATTAATAAACAGGGAGTCCATTCGTCCACCGACGGCCAGTCACCAGTGGATCCATTGGGTGGCCCTTCTTCGCCAATGACATCGCTACAGCCACTTAAGACCAAATATGTTCGCGACTACTGTGTGCCAGCAGTTCGCGGATTTTTCCGTTCCGTATCGTTAGCTCACGGATCCAGTCTTCAGGATACACTACGCATACTTACCATTTGGTTTGAAGAAGGACAACATCAGGAAGTATATGAAGCACTGGCCGAAGGCATCAAAACAGTGCCAATTGAAACGTGGCTTCAGGTACTCAATTGACAAAAAAATATCAAAACTTTTTTGTTGACAATTTACTTACAAAAAATGTTTAGGTTATTCCACAACTGATTGCCCGAATCGATACAACCCGACAATTAATAGCACGACTAATACACCAATTGCTTATAGACATCGGTAAACATCATCCGCAGTCACTTATATATCCGCTGACAGTGGCCTCAAAGGCCTCAGCACCGGGACGTCAAGCATCGGCCAAAAAGATTCTGGATATGATGCAGGTCCATTCACCTAATTTAGTACAACAGGCAATGCTTGTTAGTGAGGAACTCATACGTATTGCCATTCTTTGGCATGAATTATGGCACGAAGGTCTCGAAGAAGCGTCCAGACTGTACTTCGGCGAACGCAATGTCAAAGGAATGTTTGATATATTGGATCCGTTGCATCAAATGTGTGACAGAGGACCACAAACACTCAAAGAGATGAGCTTCAATCAGGCCTATGGTCACGACCTTAACACTGCCAAAGAGTGGTGTCGGTTAGTAAAAGTCAATTTAAGTGATTTATTCAATTGGATCAGTTGATGATTTATGATTGATGTTTACTTTTAGCAAATACCAAATGCACGGCAATGTCAAAGACTTGACACAGGCGTGGGATACCTATTATCATGTGTTCAGAAGGATATCCAAACAGTTACCACAATTGACATCATTAGAGCTTCAATATGTATCACCAAAACTGATGCAATGTCGTGACCTCGAGTTGGCCGTTCCCGGCTCTTATAATCCAAATCAACCACTCATTAGCATTGCTCGGGTCGAGCCTCAGCTTAATGTGATTACAAGCAAACAAAGACCGAGAAAATTGTCCATAAAAGGTAGTGACGGTCGAGACTATATGTTTTTGCTTAAAGGACACGAAGATCTTCGACAAGACGAGAGAGTAATGCAATTGTTTGGTTTAGTAAATACATTGTTGACCAGCGATCCCGAAACTTCTCAAAGAAATTTGGGTATGAATTGAGATTACAAACAAACAAAATATTTTTTTAATATATTATTGATTTATTGTCGATAGCAATACAACGCTACGCTGTGATACCATTGTCTCCTAACTCGGGACTCATCGGTTGGGTTCCCCATTGCGATACTCTGCACACACTTATCCGTGATTATCGGGAAAAGAAGAAAATCTTGTTAAACATTGAACACCGAGTTATGCTACGAATGGCTCCCGATTACGATCACTTGACTCTATTGCAAAAAGTCGAAGTCTTTGAACACGCCTTAGAGCACACAACTGGCGATGATTTGGCTAAACTATTGTGGCTGAAGAGTCCATCGTCAGAGGTCTGGTTCGACAGACGAACTAATTACACTCGAAGTCTGTCAGTGATGTCTATCGTTGGCTATGTTCTCGGTTTGGGTGATCGACATCCGTCTAATCTAATGTTGGACCGAATGTCTGGTAAGATATTGCACATCGATTTTGGCGATTGTTTCGAAGTTGCGATGACTCGCGAAAAGTTTCCCGAAAAGATACCATTCAGGTAAGTGTCAGATAATTGTTGAGAATTGACTGCATTTTATTAATCAATAACTTATTTTTTTATCTAATCTTTCAAACAGATTGACCCGAATGTTAATCAATGCAATGGAAGTTACGGGCATTGAAGGCACGTATCGGATGACTTGCGAAAAAGTAATGCGAGTCTTACGCAATAATAAGGACTCATTGATGGCAGTACTCGAGGCCTTCATACACGACCCGATCTTTTCGTGGAAACTCATCGAAGGTTTGTATTACATAAACCATGAGATTGTGATTAAATTTTTATAAATATTTATTTTTAATTGTAATCGACAGCACAACCAAAAGTCAAGCACTCAATCGATTTGTTAGATGAAGATGACGGTGCCGTCGGTGGTGCCCTAAACGCTGCCGCCTCGACCTCCAAGAGGCCATCGATAGCCGCTTCCAATCCCATCAGTGGTATCATCACTGAGAGTGCCGGCTTTGCTCACGAAGGACTCAATAAGAAAGCCTTAACAGTCATAAACCGAGTGCGCGATAAACTAACCGGTCGTGACTTTGACGCTCACCTAACTCTCGATGTGCCCGAACAGGTGGATCTACTCATACGACAGGCCACCTCTCATGAAAATTTATGCCAATGTTATATCGGTTGGTGTCCATTCTGGTGATTCAAAAAAAAATTAATTGTAATTAGTATTTACTTTTCAATATATAAATTAAAGTCACAAAATTGATATATAATTATTACGAAAACTATTAATTAAGTCATTTTGATTTAAAATATACACAGAAATTAAGCAGAAATATGTTTGAAACATTAGATATAAAAAAAATAATTGTAAATACATTTATTTATATAAAAAAAAGTATACAATAATTATTGTGATTTACTATACATATGAATTTGTATATTATATGAAAAATTGTTTGTTTACCATAATTATTAAAATTATATTCAATTTATAAATATATAAATGAAAAAACAGGAAATTATATACAAAATCAATTGTTAAATAAAAGAAATAATTTGTTATTAATTAAAAATAAATTGAAAGTAAAAATTTATGATAATTGTTAAACAATTAATTAATTTTTTATTATAAACGTTAATATAATATAATTATTACTAATAATAAAAGATCGAAACAAATACGGTTTGGTTATGGTTTCGGTTTTCAGAGACATTTTTGTTTTTTAACAAAATATTTTCAACTTTATAAGTGAATTGAATTTTATTGCGGTTTGGTTCCGGTTTCTATAAAATATTCTTTAGATTTAGATTTTTATTTTGACACTTACCGTAAAATAATACTTGAATAGTATTAATATTATTGATAAATAGATATAAAGTAAATACACAAATATTTCGCATTCAGTGAGACCTTAGTTAAAATATTTGATATATTTTATTAAAACTTTATTTTATTTATATTTATAATTACATAAAATTAATAATTACTCACATTTTTGTTGGTCTTTATAATAATAAAAATAATAATAATAACTAAAAAGTTTAGTAAAATTACAAGTAAATGTACACTATTTTGTAACACATTTTTAGGAATATTTTTTTATACTGTATATTCTTATATAAATATAATATATATATATATTTAAAATACTTTTAAAAATACGAGTTTAAAAAACAAGATTTTGTTTAAATCACAAGATTTTCGACCCCTTCCTGCAAATCTTGCGGTCCAAATGACTTCGGAAATAACACATCAAGCGATGTCCGCTCGTATGTACCGTCGGGTCTCACCAAATATATGGCTAAATCACTGGAAAACTGAGAGAAATTATATTATTATATTTATTGTTAATATTGTAAATAATATATGAAAAAAAAGTTTTGTGTGTGTTTTGTGTATACCTCACGCATGAATTGTCTGCATAGACCACACGGCACTATCAGCTGTGATGACATTTTCGACGATACGGCTATTGCCGTAAATTGTTTGTGACCATCGGATACGGCCTTTACTATGGCTGTCCGCTCGGCACATATACTACCAGAATAGGCAGCATTTTCAACATTACAACCTATTATAACATAAGACCAAATTATATTTAATGTAATTATCACCAAAAATAAAATGCAAACAATACTAATGTTTACCCCGATATATGTGTCCGTCAATAGTCAGGACGGCGGCGCCAACCGGGAAATGACTGTACGGACAGTACGAGTGTTTGAGTGCTTCGAGAGCTTCGGTAAGAAGTTTTTTGATGGACTCGGACTCTGCAGACACAGACATCACTCAAAACATATGGACTTTTTATTTGGCGTTATATTTAATAAAATTTTATTATTAAAAATATTTCCTTAATTTCTACTCAATGACAATATTATCCAATATATACTGTTAATCAAAAGTATAACAATTTATATGACATTTAAATTTGTGTCATATCTTATCTATTGGTTGACTAATTTGTGTTAATTTAAAATAATTGTTGATATAATTTTATTCAACTACTATAAGATAAAAAATTGAAAGTAAATATATATATATATATATATTTAAAACAATATTTAATTTGATTGTCGTTGTCGGTCACTATTTATCTTATTTGTTTATAAATTATTTTTAAATAATATTTTATTTCAATAGTTTTTATTAGTTATTTGTAATATAATATAAATGTTGTCTAAATAATAAAATTTTGCAATAAATATCATTGAATTTTCCCAATAATTTTTATCTACAGTAGTAATTAATATTAAACAAAATAAATACTGTAAATTAGTAATTAATTAATTAATAATTTAAATTAGGTTATTAAATTAGTAATATATATATATGTATATTAAAATTCTAAACCATTTTATCATTTTTTAATTATAATAGATTTTATTTCATTTTATTTTTTACGAAATTTTTTAATTAAAAATTATTTTTCAAATAAAAGTAATCAATTAAAAAGTTATTATTTATCAAATACTCAGAAATATTATCATATTTTCACAAAATTTCAGAAATACTGTACTTATATATCAAAAGTTATAGATATTTTGTCATTATTTTAATTGTTTACTGTGTATTAATTATCAACGATTTTTTTAAATATTAAACTGAAATTAATGAAATTGAAATTTTTTATATCAAAGTAATATATTATATAAAAAAGATTGTAATTATTATGAAATATTATTTTAAGATTTATAACTAATAATATTTGAAATTATTTATTTTTATTGTTCATAATAGCAAATTTTTCACATTAAACTAATTTATAAAAATAATTAAAAATTATAATAATTTTTTTATTAGTTAATATAACCCTTAAACATAACTTTAGATATTTTTTGTTATTAAAAATAATTTTCGCAAATATTTTATAACTTGTTCTAAGATTAATAAATATATATGTAAAATTTAAAAATTATAAATAAATTATTAAAGAAAATTATAAACTTATATAATTTTTTTAAATACATCGATAGTATTGATATTTTAAACTAATATTGCAACTAAAGTTATGTAAATCGTGAAATCAATTATCCAGTTTTAACTGAATCAATGTTATTGTTTGTTTGAATGAAAAAAAAATTATTTTTAATATCATTTACAAAAAACATGTGACAAATGTAATAAGTTTTAGAGTAAAGATAACAAACTACTAAACAGAACATAAGTTTTCAATTATCAGATTTTGGCTATTTTTATCATTAATGTAAACTAATAATCAATTTAATTGATAACTATTGAATATATGCACACATTAATTAAAAATCTAGCATGATAAATCTTTTTTACTATTTTTTCAAATCACAGATTTTAAAAAATATATATTATGTAAAAACATTTATTTGTTTTAAATAATGAAAATAAATAAGAAAATATATATATAAAGTCGAAATATAATAAAAATGATTATATACTGTATAAACCGGTATTTCATAGTAAATGATAACAATTATTGAAAAAAATACGGAATTTTTTGTTTGTTTGCAAATCTAAAGTACAGTGCAATTGATTTCATGCATTGATTCTTAAAAAAGAGAGAGACTTTTGATTAGTAGTGATATTATTGAACATATAATACTCACAGTATTACGTAAGGGTTTGCGCACACATGTAATGTGACGTTAAACTAAGCTATATATTAACATTTTTCCACTTTTCTCTACATTTTTTCCATTACTAACAAAATCACAAATAATGTCGACTATGTTTGACATCCCTTTCCTATATTCCTAACACTTGCCTAAAAAAAACAAATAACAGAATATTTAATAAAATTAGTCCAGATCACATTATAAATTATAGTATAATTTTTAGAAAACATTATACAATATATATACACTGTATAAATGTATGGAAAAATTGTATACTATTTATACGGAAAATTCTATGTCTTATATATATATTGATATTATTCCGTTTAAATAGTATATAGTATTGACTGATAACCAACAATGTATTCTTGAATACCTTTTCCCCCTAACAACAGAATTTCAGTACATTATTGAGTGAACAGTTAGATAATGGCACATAACGTACAGTACATTAAGTGAAAGCTCTGGTTGTCCTTCAAACCAGTCAAATGTCGGTCAAATAGAGAGACATTGGTTGGTGAGAACTGGTAGTACTGTTAGAGTAGAGTTGGCATATAATTCCTGTCACGAGATCCTCCATTCAAGTCTAATATTGCTTGACTCTCAAAGAAATACATTATCATTATATTTAAAAGTCGACCTCTCATTTGGTTTCACCACACAAAACACTAAATTCATTAATTCATTGTTACATCAAATAACAAATCGGTATGTATTTTAGAAATTACTAATAATTATTATTATTATAATCGATTAAATAAATAAATATATATGTATTTTAATTAATATAATCTATTTGTTATATTTAAATAATTTATATTTTGTCTACAGTTTTTTATTAGCCCTTATATTAGTCAAAACATTTGATAGAACCGATAGATATATTGATAGTTAAATAATTTTATTATTAATATTACTAATTTATTAAAGGTTATATTATGTTAAGTATTTGTATATATATTGTGTATATATAGTTAAGAAATACAGTATAATTAACCTTATATACAAAATATTACATTTTAAGTTTTATGAAATTTAAATAATTTTAAATATTTAAAAATTATTTCCTAATTTAAATTTTTCCTTAACAATGTTAACCGTATTATATTGCAAATTTGTTTCATATATTTAAATTATATATCATATATATAATATATAAATTAAATATATATATATATATATATATAAATAATAATAATAATAATAATAATAATAATTTAACAATTTATATAATAATAATAATTAAATAAATATCTAAAAATAGTTTTATATTTAATTATTTCATATTTTTTAAGTTAGTTTTTCATTGTCTCGTGAATTCAATGATAATATCTGAGAGACCGATACTTTTCAATAATTTTTTTTAATATAACTTACATAATATTGTTAATTCTGTACTTAATTATTATGAAATATATGATATGATATTTTATATCTATATATAATATTTAATAATATTATCATAATTGTTTCAAATTTTGCAGATTACTGTTTAAAATTGAAGGTTATTTATTATTTCAATCATTAAGTAACTTTAAAGTGCATCTGATATACTGTATAAAACATATCTTAGTTACTATACAATTGCCATATCGTATTTTAGTTACATTAATTTTTTTAATTGAACTATAATTTATTTAACAATATAATTATTTATTGAGGCCTCTGTGTTAAATTACTATAAATTAAAAATTTTATACTACATTAAAAATCATAATGTTATCATCAAATAATAGTTTATAACTAAACTGTAATATTAATAAATGACTTGCAATAATATACTGTATTGTATATGAATATAATCTAAACTACCGGTAAAACAAATATTTAGGTTATACTGTATAGCTATTATTATTATGCTCTTAATATAATTGAAGTTATTTATGTAGTTGTATAATATATGATTTATTAATAGCTAAAGTTAATCCATAATTGATAGTAATTGCGATATTAATTTTTAACATCAAAAAAAATATATAACATTTAATGGTCTAAACTTTTAAAACACTTGATTAACTCATCTCGACTTTGATGTCACAAAAAAATCAGTAATTTTAACATCGATTAGGAAATATAGCGATGAAAATATGTGACTTAAAGAAAAAATAGATGTCAATGATATATACATACTATTTTTAATTATATCCGTTTGAAACAATGCCAATGATTATTATTATAAAAATTGTTTTAACTATTAATATAATTAACATATTAAACAAATAATTTGAAGTCAAATAAATTTTTTAAAGTATAATTTTTAATAGTTATGTTATGATAATTAGCTTTTGTAATAACGACTGTGTTTTATTTGACATTTTAAATAAATTTATTTAAAAAAACAATTTATGAGATTATTAAAAATTACAAAAAATAATTTATAACTTTCTTTATAATTTACTATTATAAATGTTTTTTTAATTTATTATATATACATACAATATATTAATAAAATAGTTTAATAACTTTATTGCCCAAAGCTATTGTTAATAAAATACAGATCAAACCGAGCGATGAAAATATAAGTACTTCTTTGAGATGAGATTCTTGACTATTATTATCACTACTAATATCATTGTCGTCGTCATCGGTGGTAACATGACTTTCGACGACGACATGAACTTTGTTTTCGCAAACCAATGTTTCTCTATTTAATGTATACTTCTTGTGGCAAATATCTCTTAATTGTTTAACGGCTTCATTATCTTTATTATTGTTGTTGACATACCTATCATCCATACATTTACTATTTTGAAGACTTTTGACAAAATAATCGCAACAATTAACAAATACTGATCTATTTTTCTGAATATTTTCTGTAATTTGTTTCAATAGATTTACAAAATTATGAAACACTGATTGACAGTTGAGTTCTTCTTCATTGTTTAGTTTAATAGGATTTATGTTGAATTGATTTTTGCTAAAATCAGATGATTTATTTGTAGTCCTCCAATGTTTCAATGATTTATTAGTAGTTATATTTGTTTGAATGGCATCTGAATTTGTTACCATTATTGACATTAAAAAAATTAAGCATAATAATAATAATTGATTAAATTGATTATTAACAATTATAAAATTCATAATTATAAATAAAATGGTGGCACTAATTGATAACTATTTATAAATTATCTATTAATAAAATTTATTTTTTTAACAAACCATGTGTTTGAAGTGCCGAAAGTTATTGCAATTAATAAGAGAGAGAGAGAGAGAGAGAGAGAGAGACCTTGGAGTTAAATACAAAGTCCAATAATTGAAACAATTTTTTATTTATTTAAATAATTTTATAAATAGTTTCACTTTTATTGATAAAACTTTTAGTTAAAAAAACTGATTTTTCTTATTTATCATCCAAATAGTCAAAATGCCAATCGACGCGGTATCGTTTGCTAAAGATTTCATCGCCGGTGGTGTGTCTGCGGCCATCTCTAAGACAGCGGTTGCGCCCATCGAGAGAGTCAAACTGCTTCTTCAGGTACAACACGCCTCCAAACAGATAGAGGAAAGCAAAAGATATAAAGGTATTGATTGAGTGATAGACTGATTGATTGATTAATTAAATATTGAATTTGATTTTGTTGTCCGATAGGTATTATCGATGCATTCGTGCGAATTCCCAAAGAACAGGGAATAATGTCATACTGGAGGGGAAATCTGGCGAATGTTATCCGATATTTCCCGACTCAGGCCCTCAACTTTGCATTCAAAGACAAGTATAAACAGGTATTCTTGGGAGGCGTCGACAAAAAGACTCAATTCTGGCGATATTTTTTGGGAAATTTGGCTTCTGGTGGAGCAGCCGGTGCCACATCACTATGCTTTGTATATCCACTTGATTTTGCCCGAACCCGTTTGGCCGCTGATATCGGCAAAACAAGCGAACGACAGTTCAAAGGTTTAGGCGATTGTTTAGCTAAAGTGTATAAATCTGACGGTTTGATTGGTCTCTACAGAGGATTCAATGTCTCTGTTCAAGGTTTGTAATAATACTATTGATAATTAATGATGTGTTTGAATGATATCTAACCACCAATTGATTTGTTTCAATCATCAATAGGTATAATCATCTACAGAGCGGCATATTTTGGTTTCTTCGACACAGCGAAGGGTATGCTTCCGGACCCGAAAAACACACCATTAGTGATCTCATGGCTTATCGCTCAATGTGTGACCACTGTTTCGGGTATAATCTCGTATCCATTCGATACAGTCAGACGACGAATGATGATGCAGTCGGGACTGGCGGCCAATGAGAGGATGTATAAGAGTACTATTCATTGTTGGGGTAAAATCGCCAAAACGGAGGGCTCGAAGGCCTTCTTTAAGGGCGCCCTCTCTAACGTATTCAGGGGTACCGGCGGTGCGTTTGTCTTAGTACTCTATGACGAGATCAAAGCATTGTTATAATTAGGCGTTAATTAAAAAAAAATATAAACACATAGTTATTAAAATCAATTTTAAATTATTAATTAATTAATTTAGTTTTATTCATCCAATTATCAAAATTGTCTGAACTATTTAAATCATTGACTGTGTATATATGGTATAAACATTTTACCGGTAATGATAATAATAAAAATAATAAGCCATTGTTAGCTCAATTAAATTTAAAAAGTTTATGTTAATTAAATTATGTTTTGTTATCAAATAAACTGTTAATGTTTTTAATTTAAATTAAATATTTATTTATATATATATTTTGATTTTATGATTAACTTTGAAAATAAAAAGAGAGAATTGTTAGAAAATATTATGAAAAATAATGACTGAATTATTTAATTAAAATATTTTGAAATTTTTTTTAATGAAAAACACCAACAATTTGATTGACTAAATGACTAAAAAAAATATTAAATTAAAGTCGATATAAAAAATAATTACTATATTTTTTAATGATTACCGAAACTCCCGATAATGAAAAAAAAACTTTACAAACAATTGTTTTTATGACGTTATTTATGTCCCGAAAATGTTTGTATTTATTATTAATTTAAAGGTATTATTGTTTTGAGTTTTTTTTTGAGTGAAAACCACACAAACTGTTGACTCAATCGATCGATCGATCAATTCATTGGTCACTTCGGCTGTTGTGTCCACTCATACGACCCGACGATACGGTAAGTCAGCGGACAGTTAGTCCTTCTTCACAGGAGAATGGCTTCACTGACTCGCAGTCGCGGCACTAAACCCAAGAGTATTGTCTGGAAGTACTACACAACGACCGACGAGACGGTCGACGGCGGCGGAGGTCAACCGACACTTGTCTGCTGTTTCTGTGGTTCACAGTTTACGGCATCGGTGGCCAAAAATGCAACGAAATTGCGGCTACATTTGGTACGCAAGTGTACGGCCGTACCGATTGATATCAAACGCAATCTGGACGAAGACTTTGACGATACCGACAGCGGCTGTCAATACCAGATGACAACCACAACGACGACCGCCACTAATGTGAGTAATACACGGATGGGATGTCGATATCGATGTCTATTATTATTATTGTCTTATTATTGTTTGTGTCATCCGAACGGATAGGTTGGCAATAATGAAGAAGTTGGAGAAGAAGAAGAAGAAATGGATATCAAACACAAAATACGATTAGTTATTAACAGCAAACCGACGACAACTAATAATACAAAAAATACGCTGAAAAACAAATTGTCGACAAAAGTGAATCAAAAATCTTATGGAAACAAGTATTTCAATAACAATGACAACAACAATACGACCGATGAGGATACCAATGAAAGGACAGCCGATATGTTTGATGTCAAACAACTGTCGAGAGCTGAGCTCGAAATGAAAGTCGAGTCGTTGGTCGCCGAAAACACGCGACTCAATACTCGACTACAGCTGTGTCTCAAACAGACCGATGCGTTGATACAACTGACCAAACGTCTGGAAGAGAGTATGAATTTTATGGAAAGGATTGACTCAATCAATCGAATCCATTCGATACGATTTGAAGATATGGATCCCGAGATTGACATACTTACCGATCAATTGACGACAAACAACGAGACGGTAATTGAATTGAAACAAAAGTTAAGATCACTTGAGGTCAAGATGTTTGAGACACAGGAGAGACAAGAAAGAAGGAGACGCTCGACATTCAGTGGTATGTATTAAAAGATTAATAAAGATTATTATTATTATTATTTGCATTTTTCAGACGGAACTCTAATCTCGAAGTCTCCACGACCTCAGTCGTCGATCTGGAAGTACTTTAAATTTGAAGAAAACCATACAAACGATGGCTTAAGAGTTATAGTCTGTATGTATTGTAATAAAATATTTCGTCATAAAAATCTGAACGCATTCAAGAGTCGCGAACATATTGTCGAAACTTGCGAAAAGTGTCCGCAAGAGATCAAAGATAAAGAAAACTATTGGTCCGAACCTCAACCTAAATCAAAGGTCAACATCTGGAGTCACTTTATATTAACCAACGAAGAGGACAGAACTTCGGCCGAATGTCGCTACTGTTGCCACAAATATCTCTACCGAAATGCTACCAAATGTCGACAACATCTTGTCTTCAAATGTCAACAAATACCCGACGACATCAAAGAGAGTATTTGTAATCAATGCGATGAATCCTTTCTAAACAGTCTACCGAAACCTAACGAACCGATTAAGACACGGTTGTCAAACATTTGGAAACATTACAATACTTCCTATGATATCAATGGTGCGTAAAACGGATTAATTAACAATAAATAATTTATTTTTGTTGCCGATGTTGTCATCATTTAATAACAGGTAAAGAAAGTTTTTCGTGTATGTATTGCCATCAAATCTATTCCACAAGAAATGCTACCAAATTTCGCCAACATTTGATCGACCGGTGCGAAAAAGTTCCCGACGATACCCGAAATACACTATCAACCGAATCGATTGAGTCGAATAGGACGTGGACACAGACTAAAGTTCCCGTTTGGACACATTTCAAGCTCTGGGAACAGTCGGGTAATTATTGAGTTTTAAAAATATAATTAATTTTTATGCAAAATACTGTAAAATTTGATAATTATATTTTTGATAATTTCCAGGCAAACAAATGTGTAAATGTATTTACTGTGGCATTACCTACGCCTATAGAAATGCAACCAAATGTTTGTTATTTATAATTAAATTATATAATAAATTATTTATTTTATTAATATTATATATTTTTTCTATTTCTGACTTAATTAATGATTGCATGAAATAACAGGTAGAATCCATTTGATGCTTAATTGTATGAAAATACCGGTTGACCAGAGATTTGATTTACGTAAAGAAGCCAATGAGTTGTATACGAGTGCATTGGAGGCCAAAAATCGTGTGACAATTACTAAAGTATTTTAATTTTACTGTTTGTCTTATTTTTGTTATTTACCGATAATTTATTGATTTATTTATTTACTGACAGCCAAAGCAAAAGAAAACCTTAACAAAGGTTATATCGGCGACGGGACGTAAACCCAAGTCAAAGATATGGCAACATTTCGAAGAGTTTAAGGACAGTAAAGACGAGATCGTCCGCCGATGTAAATATTGTGAACATCAGTTCGGTTCGGGAACCAGTCGTAATGCGACCAAATTGAAGGACCACATCGTTATGTTATGTAAATCGATTCCCGAAGACATCAAACAAGAGATTGTAGATCACGCCGTCAAATATCGGAAAATTTCGGGAAACAAAAAAGTTATGGAACCGATGAAAGTGTTTGAATGTTGTTGGCCGGGATGTGACATGAAGTTCCCGAAAAAGTATTATTAATTTTATTAAAGTATTATAAAAATTTGTAATTTAACTATATTTTTGTAATTAATTTTTTTTAAAAAAAAGATCGCGACTATTGAATCACCAAAAGTCGCACACCGGCGAAGTGGTTCGTGTACCGTGCGATTGGCCGGGATGTGAGTGGACGGGTAGGACAGTGCACAGTCTAACACTTCATAAATACATACACACCGGTAATATAATGTTTTATTTATTGATAGTTTTTTTTTAATTATAATTATATGTTACAATTACCGGTTATAGGAGAGAAACCATTTGAATGTGATTGGCCGGGATGTGAGTTCAGGACAGCTAAACCATCGAGTCTTTGTGTCCATAAGGTTAGGAACAGTAGTTGTCGTCTATGAAGTAATTATTGACATTTTTTTTATTTGTTTGTTTGTTTAAAGATGCGACACAAGAATCTGTTGCGCTACCGGTGCGATTGGAACGACTGTCCCCGTATTTTTCTGACATCATCGCAACTAAAGGTCCATAAGATGGTCCATTTGGGTATCAAACCGCACGCCTGTCAGTACTGTGACAAACGTTATCCGCAACTAAACAAATTGAAAGTACATCAACGGAAACACCATTTGAATAATATTTGATGTCAACAAACAAACAAAAACAATGCATTAATTATTGATTATTGTATTAATTTATATAAATCATATCATTTATTAATCATTTCATTTTTATTTGTGCAATATATATGTGAATATACGGTAATATAATATCACTAATTAAGGTATAAATACAGTATTTATTATGTATTTGAAATGTTTTTTCCATATACATTATAAACAATTATTATTGTGTAAAGTTAATTAAAAATATTTTCCCATAATTTAATCATCAGTATACTTAAGTATAATTTTTTTTATAGATTTTTGTAATAATTTTTTAAAAATTTATGTTGATAATTTATTTTTAACATATTTTAAATGATCGTAATAATAATAATAATAAAACATATGTTATTAATTTTATTTGTGTACTACATTGAAAATAATATGAATATATTGTAAACTTATTATAAAACTTACCGGTAATTACCGATATATGTTATTTACATACAAAAGTGTAAATCATATGTTTTTCAATAATTTAATTAATTAATTCCATAAATTAATTAATGTATAATAACTATTGTTGTATTTAAAATAATAATAATAATAATTAATACATTTTCATGACTACATACGAGTCCTCATATTGAATGGGAGCTGAACTTTGCGATTGATTTTGTTGGCCATAATCATCGACACAGTCGTCGTAAATATTTTTATCGTTATAATTGGTTTTATAGGGACCGCCAGTCATAGGCGTATAAAATGGTTGTTGAGTAGTCGACTGTCTCTTGAATTGTCTATTATCCGCATACCGTTCTTCGTCTACCATTTCATACATTTCATCCGTATCTTTGCACATACCGTACGATCCTAAGCCTTGTGTCTCATAATTATCATAAATGTTTGACTCTCTCAAACCCTTGCCATTGATACCATTCCTCTGCATTCGTTTCGCTCTTAAAACACAATATACCAGTAGTGCAGACAAACTGAATGTCACAATCAGTGTCAACATTATTATTATGGATATTGTCGTCAAATTTAGTTTGGATTCAATTCCTATTTAAAAAAATTGTTTTTTTGAAAAGTGTTTATTAGTTTATAATTACTGGTAGTTTTTCTCTATAATTAGTGTCAATTAATATAAAATGCAAACCTTTTTCAGTGTCCAAACAGGTGGGCATACTATCACTCCATTGGCCATCTTTACCACAAACTCTGACATCTTTGCCAATAAATATCTGGATTTCATTTTTGCATCTGAAGTGGGCTTTCGTGCCTTCGATGGCAAACCATAGGCTGTCGTTAGAATAATAGACTCTATCGTAGAGATAGACTTCTGTCAAATGTTTTTCGCTTAATTCAAACTTTTGGCACGTCTTCTGTGGCATACACTCTGGCAGACTTCCCGTCCATTTCATATCTCTATCGCAAAATATGGCGTGTGTTTCACCATTACTGCCGGTGCCGTCCATCGGCGTAAAACCGGGCGCACATTTGAGCGCATACCTCGCGTGATGATTGATAACATGTGCGTTCATATCTATCGGTATTTCCGGTAGTCCGCACACCGGTTCCCGTGGATTGCCATCGTTGGTATACTGTTCGGCCAGTATAAATGTGGCCAAATCCATGGCCAGTATGTCATCCGATTTAGTTTCAATTACAACCAAATTCGACTTATCGGTAATTTCTTTCTCGAACGACTCAGTGTTTGGCGATTCGCATGAAAACCAAAAGTCAAATCGGGTTGAATTGAAAGCCCACGGACTCACTGAGGTATGACTGTCGAGCAGACAGTTCCGATAGGGACTGACCCGAACATTGGTTATATTCCATTTGGCACTCTTTATCCGATTGTCGACCAACCGGTTGACTACCGATAGACTGATGCGAACTAATTGTATCATTGCTTTCGATTCCAAGTATAGCTCGATTCGGTAGTTGTTGGCTCCGTAGGCCCGCAACGGCTGATTATATCGTTCGGCAATAAATGAATTGCCAAATTTGGTCCACGGAAGCAATGCTGTAGTGTTGTACTCGTGGATCAACTTATTAGTCTCTTTATTGTATACTTTGGCGATCACCACATCCTTGTCGTTGAACGCCTTTCCTAATGTTTGATAAAAAATATCAATTATTTAAACAAATTTTAAATAATTATTTCAATTAAAACAAGAGAAGACATATGAATATACCACAGACGGCATGTTTTCCCATCCATTTCCCTTTAACACACTTTCTGTATTGTTTTAATGATATATAATCTAAACATTTATAGACTACTGTTTCGCCTTCACTATAGATAGTCTGTGTTGGCGTCAGTTCCGATTTGGACGGCTTTCCCGGATCACCGCAATAGCCGGTTGCCGTTGGACTCAATTGGTCACTATTTCTAACCATTTGTTGTAAAACTAGTATTACTAATATAGTAATCAATAATTTCATTATTAATTTTGTTTTTGATTGATTGATGTATAAGCTTTCACTACTACTAAATGATTACGTGATAAATAAGAGAAAAACTTTTTTTTGTTGATATTATTATTATTATGTATTTAAAACATTTTCATAACTGATTTTTAACTGATTTGTGTAATGAAAACTTTTGTTTCCCTTATTTTTATTACAAAAATTTTACACCATAAAAAACAAAGTAATCCTACAAAAAAAATATTAATACATTATATTATATTTTACATTATATCCGTGCGATTGATAATTCCGGTGCTTTTTAATACGTTTATTAGCAATGTTTTAAAAACAATTTTATTTTCATATAATATTAGTTTAATTGTTATTTTTGTTTGTCTAATTTAATTTAATTTTATATAAAAATACAAATGATTAAAATAATTATGAATATATTAATTAAATTTTTGTTTATTATTATAATTAATAAAAATCAAATAAAAAAACATAAAAAATTCAAACTAAATTATGTACTAATTTACTAAATGTTTATAATAGTAATCTCTTATTTTAATCATTAAATTGTGTGATTAAATAATCTGATTACTATCTAAACAATAAAATATATAAATTAATTATAAAATTTAATATAACATAAATACTTTATTATAATAATTATAATGTCTTAGCATGTTTAATTATTTAAAAATAATGCCCATTAATTGTTTTTATATAATTTTATTTAAATAATTAATACAATGTTTGTTATACACTGTATAATATACAGTATAAAACATATTACTACTGTATAGTATACTGTTATAATTTAATGATAAATACCATATGAATTAATATTTAAATAAAAAATTAGCATTTAAATCAATTATAAAAAATTATATTTGTTTTATTTTTATATATCTTTAACTTTTAAAAAATATACTATATTTACATCATATATTTTCCCATTAATTAAATATAAGTCATAGATTAATTGAATGTCAATATTTTTATCATATGATAAATGTCCTATTTGTGAAATTTATTAAATACTAATAATAGATTTAATTAAAATATCAATATAATAATAATAACAAAAATCAGAGAAAACATTTCACATTATATACAGGATATGATTAAAAAATGTTAGAAAAATTGTGAACACAATTCTGGGAATTGATATATAAAATCTAAAAATGTCAATAAGTTTTATTTGTTTGTGTAAATCATGAAATTTTGTTATAATTAAAAAATTTGTTTGTTTTTGGATAAATTAAAAATCCTACGAAAAAGTTTAATAATAAACGATAAGTTTGTCATAATATATTTTTTATTAATATTATTTAAATATTTTTGAAAGTTTTTTTATAACTAATTTTTTTTTTAAAATAAAATCTTTACTTATAATTATATTACAAATGTTTGTACAAAAAAATGTATTACTGATAATACAATTTTTTACAATATAAAATAAACTTTCATTTAATTTAATAACAAATAAAATACAAAATTAATACATTATTTTTTAATAAAATACAATAAACATCTATTTCTATAGATTTTAAGTTTAATTACAAATCATTAATTGTATAAATCTTTTTTTAAATATGCAAATGATTTTTAAATAATATATCATATATTATACTAATATATTTAACATTACTGTAATATTAACAAAAAACAAAACATGTGTTGTTTATATAATAATTATATAATTATTAGTCACAAATCAATGAGTTTGAAACGATAAGTAAATTATTTGTTTCACAATACATTATATCTTGTTTTTTGTCTATAAAAAAGAGACTAATATATTGTATATATGATGTGTCTATTATTGTTAATAATATATTAAATCTATAATAATTTTTTTGTATTTTCAGGTCAATTCACAAGGTCTTTGAGACATTTGTTTTATTGTTTATATACCGTATATATGATAATCACATATTTAAAGATTTTGAACTTATGCTTCAATCAAATTTTTGACATTAATTTTACCACATTTTTTCAACAAAAAAAACAAAAAAAAATATAGCAATTTATCTCATATATATATATTATAAATTATTATAATTTTTACTAATAATTATAGACAAATTTTTTCATAGAGATTTGCATAATTATAGTAATAAATTATTATACAATACTCTATTGTTATAGTTATGTATTGTCAAAGTAGATGTAATTAAATTAAAATGTAATTAAATAAAATAAAAATAAATTATACATTTGTAATAGTTAAACATTTTCATTATAATGTAATAATAAATCACTTACTGTAATAACCTGATAATTAGTTACGTATAAAAAAAATCATAAACCATTTGAAAAAGTTTAAAGCAATTACAATAGATTATTGTATAATCACAATAATAACTAAAATATTGTAAATAAAGTATATGTAAGATAAATATATAGTATTAAATATTATATAATCTTCTATTGATTTATAAAAATAAAAAATAAAAAAATATATATATAAAGATTTTGTTTTAATGATATCTAAGTATTTAAAACTTTTTGGTTTAATAATTAACGAATAATAATAATAATAAGTGAATAGTAAATAATAATCGGAAGTAAACTATAATTAAATTTAGATTTAAGTGTTAAAAGTTCATATGTTTTTTGACAATGCAATGCAAAAGAGTATATAAGTCAGTGATATTTCAAATTAAATCTTTAGTTTCTATCAAATCTATTAAATCCAAAAAATAATAGTTATTTTTGTATTAATAATAATATTAAATTTTATAATGAATTCAAAACAGTTTGTGCTTTTATTTATCATTGTTTTGGTGTGTTTGAGTGCACCTATCAGTGCCCGATATCGGGGAGATATTATCATTGTTGGCGGCGACGGTCTCGGCGGCGGTTTCGGCGGTATGGGTGGACTCGGGTTGGGTCTAGCATTGATGGGCGGTCACGGAGATCTCGTCCTCGGCAAACGTTAATTACATCAACAAAAAATTTGTTATAATTTTTATATATTTTTTAATAATAATTTTTTTTAAATATATTTTTTTACAAAACAATTTATGATTTCAAATAAGACATGTAATAATTTTTATTTTTAATGATACAAAACCTAATAAATACCATTAATATTTGAATTAATCTATTAATTAATTAAAAATCATTTATAATAATAATAATTTTATTTCAATATACACTATAATTATTTATTAATTTTTTAATAGAAAATTTAACAAATGTATTTTATAATAGTTATTAAATTTTAGATTAATTAAATTACAATTAAGTAATAAAAAATTAGAAATAATTAATTAATTATTTTAAACAGTAAAAAGTAGTAATTATTTTTTTTATAAAATTGACAATAAATTAAACAAAATTAATTATTAAAGTTATGCAATAAAATTATTATTGAATTAATTAAATCTAAATCTAAAAACAATAAATTGTTATTATTATAATTAATTGATTGTTAAGCCAGTGTTATGGGTGGTACAGACAGATTGAATCGGTTATGATTTTTGCCACTTTCCACGTCCAACGCTATGCCACACGACCGACGGGTCAGATAACTGATCGACAAAAATACGGCAAACAATAGGCTCGTAGTGACCACAAACAGGACAAATACGGACAGACAGACATATAATTCGCTGAATTCACCGCTGGATTGAAATAATCGACGTAAAGGACGGCCTAAATGGTCGCCATATGAGTGCTCGTAGGATGCGTTCAGAGCACTGATAGTTTCGTTCATTTCATAGTAGTATTGATTTCAAAATTATAGTTAAATTAATTATTATTAATATACGATAATTTGCTAATTACATCATAGATTAAAATATTCTCAAATATAAACAATAATAATAATAATATAAGAAAATCACTTCAAAAAAATTATGTTATTTTTTTAACTAATAGTTGTATTATTATTATTATAGTAGAAATTAAAGGATTCAAAACAAAAAATATTGATTTTTTCTATGTGTTTACAACTTCACCGCTCAAATCATGCGCTCAATTGTAAAGAATATTCTGATTATTCATTCATTACATAACCAACAAAAAAAAGTATTGAAATTTACGATAAAATAGTGTTTTTTAAAATTTTGCGCTAATTTTTTGTTTTATTATTTTTTACAACAAATAAATCATCACCTATTATATTAAGTGTTAACAAATATTTGTTTTTATCAGTTTATTATTTTTACTTAGAAAGTACAGTATATGTAACAATAAAACTTTTTTTAATAAAAATATATATTACTGACATTTATGATGAATTTTTTTTAATATTAAAAATATTACATATTTGTTTTTTTAAACAAAACAGGATTTATTACATCAACAAAGTTATTAATAAATTGTATTAAATCATTACAAATATTTTATGTAATAATTAGTTCACTTATTATACTATTATTAAGTACTGGTAGTACTATTAATAACTTTAGTACTGTTAGCTTTATTAATAATTTATTATGAAATAATATAAACAATTATGCGATTATTTGTGTACTAAACTATAAATATGACTGTAATTAAATTATCGTAAATATAGCACTGAAAAAACACTAATAGTTAATAAAATAATTACATAATAAAGTCAGTAAATATAGAGTTAATTTTTTTTAGTAAATACAAATAAAATGTATTTGATTTAAAACATTTAAGTACAAAGTTTTCAAATGAGTCAAAATTTTATTAAGTTATCAAAATAAAAGTATTTTCCAATGTTTTGCTAATCTTTTATTTTATTATTTTAATTATTTAACTATAAATGGATGTCTAAAAATTATTTGTATTATTTTCTAATAATATATTATACTGTAGTAAATAATATTTAATAAAAAAATATTATTTTAGAAAAAATGATAATTAATTACAATATATGGAAAATTTATATATTGTACATTAATTCATCCTCATATAACTTTATTAACAATTAATTTATTTAAGTTAAACAAATATACTGTATTTTAAACATTATTAATTAAAATGTTCAATGTTTTTAATGATTCACATTTTTTTGATCATATATTATAAATATGCAGTATATGTATTGTAGAGACAATACAATATAGACTATCTTATAATATAATTAAAAAATCAATAAATATGTACACAATTTGCTAAATATTGAATATAATGAGACTTTAAATTAAACAAATACTATGATTAGTACTGTGTGTCTAATGTTAATAATGAAACACATTTACAAGTTTTTATTTATTTAATTTATAATCTATTAATTACTTGTCACACATACACTTGTTTTTTCAATATTAACTATTTTAGAAAATTAACATTTTATAGTTTAAAAAAATTATTAACTATATATATATATAACTTATTTATTTATTATACAATAAATTAAATAAGTATATAGCCCTGTAAAATGAAAACAGTAAACATGTGGCAATGAACTTAAAATTAAATTAAAAAAATTTATTGTTTATTAAATAAATAAATAATTAAACATAAAAAAAATTGCTACTCATTCTTAATATTAATAATATTGATGATAAAAACAATACTAATGATGTTTATACTGAAAATGAATCAAATTTAGCTATTGTTATACTATATAAATAAATATATATATATACAGGTATTTATATTTATATTATGTATTCAAGTGTTTAAACTATGGATTATCTATTAATGTAAAAAACAATTTTATAATTTATTATTTTGTTTTTGTTTACAAAAAAAATATCCCGTTAAAAATAAATGGCTATAAAAAAGGTATTTATTATTTAAATTTTTTTTATGTATTTTTTCATATAAAAAACTAATTTACATCATTAAATTGTATTTCATTTATAATCTATTGAAAATAATAATTGTCATAATAATTATAATCAGCTATAACTATCATATAAATTACAATCTAGGAAACAATTTTATAATAAAGTTTTTTTTAAAAAAAATTAATGATTAAATTTTTACATTTTTATTGCTATGTTTTTCACTAAAAATTTTATTCACGTGAAGGCACGGCATGTCTTTTATATCATACAATCGGTTCATTAAAATTAACAGTTAGATAGATAAACATATAAAAAACTAAATTAGATAAAAAATAAAATTGATAAAAATATTTTAGTTAATATAATATCCATATTTGTATATTTTTTGAAAAAAAATTATTATTATTATTTTAATTATTAAAGCGTGTGTATCTATGTCTGTATTCAATCTTATTATTTTACGCAATATTGTTATTATTTTATCAATTAATTTACCACTTTTTTTTTATATCTTATAGGTTTATAAAATAATAATAATTATATGAAAATAATTTTAATTAGTTTATGACATTTATATCCCTTATATATAATTTTTTATTATTATATATATTGCTTTTTAAATATTATATTATATGTTTTTTAAACATATTAGATGAAAATAACAATAAAATTATTGAAATATTTATAACAATAAAAATTAATTTTTTATTTTAGTTATAAAAGTAAGAAACATCTGTATATAGTTTTCAGTGACATTTTAGCTGTTTAACTGACAGTGTTTTAATTTTGTTTAAATAATTATTATTAAACAATAATTTATTATTATTATTATTTTTATATTATAATATTATTGTATTGTAATCAATAAAAAAAATTGAACAATTCAATTTGGAACTAGTGCAAATTATTTATAATTATTAAATAATAATAAAATATTTTTGTATATATTTATTAGTTTCTAATAAATATTTCAAATTTACTGATTGACTGATTTATAAAAGAGATTTTATGTTTAAATTTTATGCATAAAAAACTTATTATTCTTAACTTTCAAACCATTTCAAGAATACGCCAAAAGTTTCGTCAATTTTGTCTTCATTATCACCGAAGAGAATGAACGGCAGACCCACAGTATTAATGGCACAAAAAAAGACTAATGAATCCAATAATGGTTACACAACAGCACCGGCAGCGACACCGCAGCCACATATGTACGACAAGAATGGATCCAAACATTTGGACAGAAACGAAGAAAGACAGCTATCGGTGATGTTAGCCAAACACAGGACCGACACATTAATTCAAAACAATCTAAACAATGAAAAGCATATTAAGGCTGAATTAGAGACCATTCGCGAAGATCACGAAAGAACGACATCCATAACATCCATACTGTCGTACGGGTCGGTGACGGCCGAAGAGGAAGAAGTGATGTCCAAGAAGTATAAGTATGTGACGGCTTCGGTCCTCTGGTTTTGCTATTTTTCATTGGTTTGTATTATTATTATTATTATTATTATTATTATTATTATTATTATTATTATTATTATTATTATTACTATTCTCACTGTATTTATTAGTTGTTTGAAAGAAAATTGCCATTAAAATAGATAAATACATTAAACAAAAAATAATAATTAAATTAAATTGAAATGTCATGTCTAGGCCTTCACTAAATGTAGGTTATAATTGTTTAGTATGAATATGACATTGGTATCAATAATTGTATTACTAATATATATATATTTATGTTTTGATGAGCTATCATAACAAACGATTAATTAAAAAAAAAATAATAATAATTTAATTTCATTTCATTGTTAGGCATTGAATGACTATATATTTGGTCCAACACTGGCCGAATTGGCCGACATATTGGGCACAACGTTTGAAATGATATCCTATTTTGTAATCATACGGCAAGTGTCCTACACTTTCGGCGCATTAGGTATGACCCTAAAAAAATATATATATAGATATAAATATAAACTAAAAGCAAACTATATGTAAAAATTTATTAGTATATATCTTGATTAAATAAGCTATAATGAGCTAACTATTATTTATAATGTCAAAAAAAAATTACCCAAGTAGAATTATCATATTAGAATTTAAGTACAAAACTATAATATTTTTATCATTAATATTATTATAAAAAATGTATTTTTAAAAATTTTTTTTATTGAGAAAAATACGTTATAAAACAGACTTTTATTTTATTGTTTTAGGAAATCTGGTATTTTTATTAGTAATCTAATTTATATTAAAAAGTTGACTCATAACATATGAGTAAAAATATTTTTATTTTTTACAGCAATTAATAATTACACAATAAGTTTTATAATAACAATAATAATAATAATAAAAATTTTAGTTTATAACATTGAAAAATTGACGGTTGTAAAATAATACTAAATATGGATATAACAATTAAGACAATTAAACTAAATTAGCTATAGTTTTTATAATTAAACAAATAGATGATAACAAATTAATATTATTATAAAAAAAATTAATTACTATTATGTACTGAACATAACTGTACCTTATTTTAGATATGAGATAATTTATTCAACAACAAAAAAATAAATAAATAATCAATTAGTATCATTTAATAATTCATTAGTTTACAAATATTATTTACACAAAATGCTAATTTATTATCAAAAACAAAAACAATTTGTGAAATAATTATTTTAATTTAAACAAAAAATTAAGTTATTATAATAATAATTGGAGGATATTTGACATTTAAAATTAATACATAAATATAAATATTTAAATTTATTTAAAAATCAATTGTTAAGGTGGAGTGGCCTTTAACTATGTGAACCGTCAGTTGGCGTTAATAATATTATTGATAATATCGGCGTTTACTTTGGTCGCCACTCCTTATTCCGGTTCACTCAACGTTTTCTTTATTATCGGTGCTATCAATGGTTTCGCTGCCGGTGCCTGTGATATAGGTATTATTGATATCTATTTAAACAAAACAAATCTAAAATTATTTATCAAAAAATATTTTTATTAGGTTTTCACGTATGGATTATCGAAATGTTTGAGGGCGGCGGCGGACCTCTACTCCAGGCGCTGCACTTTTCATTTGGCATCGGTATTACAATAGCGCCGTCCATAACAGCGGCATTCATATCCAGTGAAGGTGGCTGTGGTGAGGATGAAACTGTAGAAGCAAACGATGGGACCAGAGATCTAACGGTATGTACTGTAAAATATATTTTATAAATTGATTACACAATTATTATATCGTATGTATCAATTAATACCCACATACTAGACCACCACCACTACAACAGTTAAGCCAAAAATCGAGTCTCTACTTTACATACCGTACCTGATTTCGGCCGGCATTGTAGCCATGGGTGGCATTGCATTGTTAGCACTGTTCATATATAAGAAATACCAACCGCCGCGACTACCGCACGCACCGCCAGCTTTTGCCGAAGAGATGCCCACAGAGTTGTCTACTTTGGAAAAGTTTCAGATCTGGAAGGAAAACATCCCGTCATCCTATACGATGACACTCATAGTGTTGGGCTCTTTCCTATTGTTGGCCTACTATGGTCTTGAAGTAACTTATTTTCAATTTATGGCACAATTTATTACATCCACACCACTTCCTATTTATGGTTAGATGAAACAAAAAATATAGTTTAAAAAAATATATAATTACTTACCAGATATATAATTTTCTTTTGATAATTAGGAACAATGTCAGCACTAGTAGAAACAGCTACAGGTGCTGCCTATGCAATCGGTGGCGGCATTAGTATCTATTTATCAATTAAGCTAAGACCGGACCAAATGATTTATTTTAATTTTTTAATCATAAACATTGGTTGCATTTTGTTGATCATATTCTACACGACACAAGTGTCTGTCCTATGGATTGGTAATATATTAGTCGGTTTGGGCTTTTCATCTACATATGCCACAGCTGTATGTTATCTAATAATAATAATAATAATAATAAATTGTAATTAATTGTAATTTTCACCCAAAAAATCTAATACAGTACACATTCCTCGAGCATCACATATCAGTTACCAATGCTATTGGCGTAAGTTATTAATTATTATTAATTCAAAAAAAAATTAAGATTTTGTTTATAACAAACATAAGCTAACATTTAAATTTTTAATCTTTTCGATTAAATTAATGTTTTATTTTATTAAATAATTTCAGAGCCTATTTGTATTGGCCGGGGGTGCGGGCACTGCCATATTGCCGCTATTCCTGCAAAAACTATGCGAAAATTCGTCATCAATCATAATCATGTGTTTTGTTTGTACGGAAATCAGTGCCATTATCTTCGGTGTCCTACACTTTATGACGACTGTCCGCAGCAAAGAGATTGATGTCATCAAGAAAAAGCTGATCAACAATCCGGCCATACTATTGGGTTATCGGGAAAAGTCGTTATCCATACTAACCATTTAGACATTACTTTTTAGGTTAATTTAGGTTAATAATTATATTACTACTTTGTATTATATATTGTTGAGATTTCAAAAAAAAATATTTAACAAATAATTAATTTTTAAAAAAATGTTATTTTTTATACATAAAATAATAATTAAACAAAAAGAGTTTGTTAACAAATAGTTAATATTAGGAAACTATATAAATATTAAAATTGTATTATATATTATATATATCTACTGTGTATAACAATTATACTTATAAAAAAAATTATACTAAACTATAATAATAATAATCTGTATAAATTTACAACTTAACTAATAATATTTATTATAATTATCCAATAAAAAATACTTTAAAAATTAGATATTATTTATATATGTATCATAGTTATGATTATAAATAATAACCAATATTATTATTATTATGAATTTTAAAATTAATTGCTATAATTATTGCTAAAAAAATTGCTAAAATGTTAGTATAGTTATTTTTTACTGTATATATAAAGAGTACTATTTAACACATACTTTAAAAAATGTTTTCAATAGTTGAAAATAAAACTTAATTTTTACGGTATTTGTGATTCAATATTAATATTTTATTGAAAAGTTTTTTGTTTTATACAATTATTCATAATTTTTTTTATCTATCAATTAATTACAATTATAATATTTTGTATCCAATGTGTTGACAAAATTCATAATTATTTTCAAATTACTTTTATATTAATATATTAAATCATTTACAATGATAATAATCATAACATACATTAAATAATAATAATTAATTGCATGCAAAAATGATTTAAATAGCATTATAAGTTATTTAATGTCAATTATAATGGACACACAATTTTGTTTAGAAAAAAATGTTACAATTAATTACTAATTTAATTACAATTGTATTTTGAAAATTATTTATTATTACCCTGTGATTGGCTTTAATTTGTTTTATTAATCAATTTATTAATAAAAATTGTTTTTGTAAGTATATTATACAATACATGTTTAATGTTTGGTGTTTATAATATTTATAATTAGATAAATAATATTAATAATTAATATATTTACATAAATTCATAATAAATAAAACAATTAACAAATTATAAATAATTTATACAAATAAAATATAACAAAATTATGATTTAAGTAATAAATAAATAATTTAAAGAAGATAAACATTGAGCTTAATTAAATTAAAAATAACATAACTGTAATATAAGTACTAATAAACAAATACAAAAAATATACAATAAATTAAATAATTTACATTAATATTGACAATTAATTAATAAGTTATTAATAATAATTTTTAAAAAATTGTATTACATTTTGTAATTAACAACAACATTAATGATTAGACCATAGACTAGATCTATTCATAATAAAATTAACAATAAACCACTTATAGATAATAATTTAATTAATTAATTAATTAATGAGTAATTCATAATTTTTTTGGCCAGTTTGCCATTACCATATATTTTTTGACATTTTAAATATATATATATATAGTTTTTATACAGTTATTTGACATTTTTGCTCAAATTTTGAAACACTATTATTATACTTGTATGACAATAATATTTCATATAATTTTTTGTTGTTGTTAAATAATTATACAAATTAATTGTTTATTGCATTTTTAACAAATATTTCATAATATTATATATATATATGATTTGATAATACTGTATATTGGTTTTTCAAAAAAAAAAAAAATAAAAAATGTCAATAATATATTTAAAGCATCCAGGCCATATGATAATTTTTTTAAAATGATTACAATTTGTTTTTGTTATTTAATTAATATAAGTTTTTTTTACATTATAATAATAGTAAGTACATTTAAATTCACAAATTGTATTATTATTATTATTAATCAATGAAAATGAAGTAAAATATAATATTTTTTCAAAAATTGCCACTAATATCATCTAAATTTTATAAATGGTATATTTTATTAGTGATGCAAATAATTAAATATTAAATAATATTTTATCAAATATTATGTCACATATATTATATTATCAAATTAATACTAATTTTGGTAAACATTTACACTGATTTTTGAAAATCATGTTTTTTATATTTTAAATAAACTCATCTATAATATTGAAAAATTTGTTTTTTTTTGTTAATTGTATATTCAATTTTAAATACTCATTATAATTATATGAATATTTATATGACTGGTATTTTATTTATATTTATATATATGTGAATTGAAGAAAAACTTATTAAGTATTATCACAATTTGTTTTATCATTTAGTGAAAAATTATAAATGTCTATATTTTCCTAAAATTTTTCATTTTGATATATTTTTATATTAATATTTAAATTTAACAATTAGCCATATGTTTTTCATTAAATTAATAATGATTTAGATGTTTGATGTTTTTTTTAAAAATTTCAATTACAAACAATACTTTTGTATATTTTTGTTATTGATGTTGATATAATACTATAGCTAAATTGTTCATTGTCAATTGATTTTTGTTTTTAATAAATACAATTATATTTTTTTAAAAAAAAAAGTTTCTAATTTTTATAAAATAAGAAACTTAATAATTTTTTTCCTGAATAGAGTATATATTATTATTATTTTAAATAAAATTACCGGTAATAATGACTTATAAACTAATTTACATGAGATCTATTATTTTTAAAATAATTTTTTAGTAAATTTGTTGATTAGAGATAGAGATGTCATATTAAAGAGATTATATATATAGTATATATATTGTCCTAAACACCCAAATTACCGATGAATTAGTCAACAAATATCTGCATATAATATATATATAAATGTATTTATAAATCGTGTGAACATTTCTTAGCCTATGAGCGAACCCAACCAGGAGTTTGAGGTCTGAAAATAAACCAAAACATAATTAATTAAAAGTTAATTATTAAAAAAAATATTTGTTTTATTAAGAGAGAGAGAGAGAGAGAGAGAGAGAGAGAGAGAGAGAGAGAGAGAGAGAGAGAGAGAGATGGGGTCTTACATAGCGACAGGAAAGTCCTGTAAGGCCTGTCTGACCGATGAAAAGATTCCTCTATTCTCTTCCTTATAGCTTTCGACACACAATTGTTGTAATTTATTTAGATATGAATCAAAATTGTCGACATTGGGCTTATCATCGGTGAAGTTGGGTATACGGCACTGGTCTAAGAAAGTGATAAAATTATTGCGCAAAGACTCGTAATAGTCGTTCAGTTGAACAGTCCTTTGAGACAAAGAGTGATTTTCCTTAAATACCAACAAATAAAAAAATAATAAATATATTTTTCAAATAACCAATGATTTGTTATCAATTATTATCATTACAAACACGACATGACATACCCTTTCGGATGTCTTCACCTGTTCCTCCATGTGATTGATGTCGAGCTTGAGTTTTAACATTTCGGACTCCATTTTGGTATTATATTCGTTGAGTTCGCTAATTTCGTCGTCCAAAACACGCATATCTTCATGACTGGTGTCCATTAGGGAAACCGACGGCTGTTGTACACCGTTGTTGTTGTTGTTGGTGTCGTAGTGTGAGTACGACATCTGATTGTGCGGTGAAAAGTTGGTTATGTTTATGGTATTTGTTAAGTCATCCAATTTATTCATCGATGCCTTCGACGACTTGAAAACATTGGCGCCGCCGTTGGCTCGGGGACAGCCCGATAGGCTCCGGTGTGTTAGAAAACTACCGGTTGCGTGACCACTACCGTCGCAGCCTTTTATGTGGTAAATAATTTATTTAAAATAAATATATTTTAAGAGTTTAGTCCGCAAATTAAATTTTTTTCATTTACCTGGTGTCGGACAGACCGGACCATCAGTTTTAGACAGTTGTTGTTGAAGTTGTTGGTGTTGTTGTTGTTGTTGTTGTTGTGATTTAACAACAATCCTTTCCGGTAGTCGTTCCTCAATGACGGGCAATACCGGTATGTCTTGCGATATGGATTCGGCTCTCAATTTGATACGATTGGCCACTGGACATCCAGAAGCACTGTTTATATATATAATTATATTATATGTCATTTAAATATTATTTTGTTGTTTAATCGTATAATTGCATTAAAAACAAGCATTAACATATAAAAAATAACAATTACCTAAATAAGCAAATTTTTATACAATTGTAAAATTGTTTTTTAAAAAAAATAAATTATAATCATATTTAGGATATAAAATTAATGAAAAAAAATCTAAATCAATATACATATAATAGATTATTAAATGATTGAATGATTAGAATAACATAACAAATGGATTATACTTTTTTTAGTTATAGTTTTTAATGGATTGAATGGATAATAGTTTTCAAATAAATTTAAATATATGACAAAAATATATGATATATAACAAGCAATATGATATCAAGGGTACGTTTGGTGAAAAATGAAACAATTAAAATAAAACAATATTAACCATTAAATATGCTATTTTTCATATACATATAAATATAATTGTATCCAGGTTATATGATATGTTTATATATATATATATATATCTACCTTCTATGTGAAGTGAATTTGCCAGTTATATGACCCGATCCGTCACAATTGGGCACTGGGCAACTGTGTGTATGTGTGCACCGGTAGGGCACATCATTTAATTAGATAAACAATATGATAGCAAAAGGAAAAGTATGTTAAAAAGCCGTATAATTATAGCCGATATTAAGATAAATTTTTTTATATATATATAAAAAAAGACTAATCATCCAAATTTGTTATCAATATTATTATTATCATTATTATCATTAAATAAAAAAATTGCAAATAATAAACAAATCTAATTTCAAAAATTAAAGTGCTAATGATTTTATACAGTAGTAGTAGTAATAGTAGTAGTAGTAGTAGTAGATGTATGTCCCAGAGTTTTACATACCGAAGCGGTTCGGCGTCCGTTTGTTTTTCAATTTCGCGAACCAACAGTCCCTTCTTTGCCTGTTTAGTTCGCGGACAACCGCTCAGACTTCGATGGCTCGTATAGTTTCCAGTGATATGTCCCGAACCGTCACAACCAATAGTCGGACACTTGAGCTCCTGGTGTTGGGCCTGAACTACGGAACGATCGGCGTGCGGACAACCAGACAGACTGACAGATTTCAATGAAATAAATGATAAAACATTATATAAATATATTGACAACAATGAAATTATAATAATTTTTTTTGTCTAATCAAACCTCCTGTGAGTGGCATAATTGCCTGACACGTGTCCCATACCATCGCAGCCAATAGTCGGACACTGTAGCAGTTCTCTACCATCCCTGACTCGGTTTAGCGATTGTCTCATCATTTTAGATGGAGTCGGACCAGATTCGGAATCACTATAGTCGTCCGTATTATTACTGTACGATCGGACACTCGAACCGCGGGTCGAATCTTCTGGTGATGGACTCCTTAGTGGCAGATAATTGAGGCTTAAATGTGGTGAACAGCTATTGATCTGCGAAGACGTTGATGTCAACAATTGGCCAGAAATGGGTTCATTTTTGACACATAAGTTAAGTTGTGATTGTTGTTGTTGTTGTGAAGTATGAGTTCCCGCAGAGAAATCCAACGGTTCGGTCAAAGGACTCGGCTCTCGATAGTTCGGGTGCTTTGAATAGAGACTAAATAGAGGGAAGAAATATGTCATAAATTATTTAATTATATATAAAAAGCAGAATATTTTGAATTACAAACCACTGTTCAGTCAGTTTGTTGCTATCAATCGGTGTGTCCATTGATGACGAGTTTGAGTCATCACTTTTTGTCGACAAATCGAGAACCGATGGACCCATTTGTCTCTGACCAGCGCCGGGTGAGACCATTTGACACGTGCCATATGTGTGCTCAGACCTGTGAAAATAATTTTAATTTTATAGTAAATGTTAATAAAATAAAAAATGTTTAAATCTTTTTTTATAACAAAATATAAATCTTATTACTTATAGTTTTGTATACTATTCGGAAAGTTGTGTTCAATTTTGTTAATTTTGGCCAAAATTGGTCGACAATACTGTTGCTGTTGTTGTTGTTGCTGTGATTGTTGAACACTAGTAGCCGTCATGTTTGCTGTCATCGGGTACTCGGACTCGGACTGTGGTTTGCTATACTTTTCCAGCTCTTTGGCCAGATTGGTGCGCGGCGTCGCATAACTGGCCGATTGGCCTGAGTTGTATTTTCCGGCCGGTATGTCCAACTGTTTGACAAAACACATCGGTCGCAGTACACGATCCGATGTGGTCATTACGGGCGCACATATCGCCGGCGATACCGATGCCACTGACAACGGTGGTGTGGGTGTGGCGGGCGACAAACAACTGGTGGGAACAGTTAGTTTGGGAGTCTTATCCTTTTGGCTAATCTTGTCCAATGCGGCCAATGGACAACCAGAAAGACTGTAAATTGTTTTTTTTGTGAACACAAATCGTATTATTAAGCAATACATTCATACAAAATAATTATACTATTTATTTATATAATGTATTTATAATATTGTATTAGGACTGACCTGCGATGAGAATTGCGCGATGAGTTGACATGTCCTCTGCCGTTACATCCCGGTGTTGGACACCTATTGGATAAATAATCATAATTATATATATATATATATATGATATATATATACAAAAATATTTAAGCAAAAAATTTCAATAAATTTAATATAGGATACTATTTAACACTTACTTTAATATTGTTTCGTGCATTGCTAGTACTGTGAATAATAAAATTATTTAAAAAATAATGATTAGTAATTTTCATTAATTATATCAATAAATTAAATTTTATTTTTAAAAAAACTTTTTTTTTTGTTAAATAATAATAAACTTTTACTAACTTTCTGGTGTTATTTGACTTTTTCGCGGACAACCCGATAGACTTCTATGATGTGAGTATAGACCAGTAGAATGACCCGAACCATTACATCCCGGTGTCGGACATTTGTTATCGCCTAATATTTATTTATTAATAATTAAATAATTGAAATCTAAATATTTAAGTTTTTGTTTGCTAAAAAATATGTTCAAAACATTATTATTATTAAATTTATTAAATAATAATTTTAGAAACTTAATTAGAGAGATAAAAACTTAATTAGTATTATTATTATTTATATTATTAATAATGATAAAAATTTAATTATATTATTAATGACAATAATATTGTATTATTATTAGTAGTATACAGTTTTCTAGACATTTTTATACATTTAAAGATTAGTAATAAAATTTACATTTACTCCATAAATTTTATTATATTATTTTATTAATACAATGCATAAAATATTGCGATAATATACAGTATTGATATAATAATAAAAGTTAATAATACTATTAACGGTAATAATTTTTAAAAAGTAAATCGGAAACAAATTATATGTAAAACTGATAATAGTTGTGTGAAAAATAAAAATTATCACAAATTACTGAAAACAAAGAATTGTTTTTCGTTTTACAATTGCTATTCAGATATAAAAATTTTTCATTTAATATAACTCTTTTTAATACACTTTTCAGACCGTAATTATAAATGAAGTGAATATAATTTGATAATAAAACACACAAATGTTTTCATGTTTTTAAAACCATAAACAAGAGATATTGAGTAACACATACACATAGAAAGAGAGACAAATATTATATATATATACTGTTTAATAAAAAACATTGACTTTAATTGAATAGATTTTTGTTAATTTAGAAATCGCATTAAAATACTATTAATTTTTTATATATAAAAATATATATAAAAACTATACTAAATGTACTGTAACTCTACTGTACTACAGACCAGTAGTTGATTTACAATGATTTTATAATAATAATAGCACCGGGAGTTCATCACTGTTTGCGCTGTGAAAAGAGTTATGTTTGTATTGTATAATAATTTACAATATATATTATATATGTATATAAGAGCATAAAATATTGAATATATATAGACTGTATATAAAAGTACTGTAATATTATTGTATGATATATGCTATGTATGTATTAATAGAGTGCGAGTAAAATTAAGGGACAAAACAATGAGTTTTAGGAAATTAATGTTTTATTAAAGGATCAAATGATCGCTAAAATGAGATAAACTTTATGATAATAATAATAATAATATAAATATTTTTGCAGCCGTTTGTGCTCAAAGAGTTAAATAATGGGCAATAAATACATTATTTAAATATTAACTTATATTTTTATGTACAATATATATACATATACTGTAGTTTTATAAATATTCTGTATTATACTTCATTAATTTTTAGGCTGTCATATATATATATATATATATATATATATATATATATATATATAATATTAAAACTGATTTTTTTTGTTTTTGTTACAAACAACACATAGACTATAATTTATATATTTTTGGTGACTTTGATAACAACCAATTTATAAATATTATTATACATTATAAAATAATCTATTGTTATTAGTGTTATTATTATTATTAATAATAATAATAACAAAAAATAATAATAAAGAAATATAATTAGTTTTTTATTTTATTTTTTTAATCAATTAGGTGACACCAAAAATTTGTTTAATGATAATTATTTTTATTATAAAACTTTCGTAACCAAAAATTTCTATTAAAAAAACTATGCTATTTTAATAGTTTGTTTTTTTAATTAATAATATATCTAATTTTATACAATAAATAACTAAATACTAACTACTTTTATAAGTTTTGTATATTTATTTATCGGATTAAAACAAAAATAATGAAATTTAAAAATAAACTCGTAATAATGTATTACTAAATATATAAAACTTACAATTATTAATAAATAAACCATAAATTAAGGATTTTGTCGCATAATTATATGATATAACAACATAAAAATAAATTTATTTAAAAATTTTAATTTTATGTATATTAATTTTTAACATTTTAAACAAAAAATACATATTTACTAATAATTAAAGTTAAATAATAAAAAAATTACTATTAAACAACTTATTGTTAGTTAATTAATAATTTAATTTCTAAAACAAGTTTAGCGTTTAAAACAATTTTCACTGTATAGCATACGTGTATTTTTTTAAAAAAGTAATCGTTTTTAACAACATTTAAATCTAATATAACCAAAAAATCACTAAACTTGATATTATAATTTATAATACATGAGTAAACTTTTTTTAACAGAAAAAAAAACTAAAAATATTGTCTAAAATATTAATATATGATATTTTATGTTATAATTTTCAACTTTTAAAAAAAAAAGTTTTAAATATTGAATATATCAAATATATACTGTATATGAAGCAACTAGTTATACTGTAATACTATATTAAATATTGATTAACTAACTTTTTTTGTCAACTATTTCAACAAAATTATTAAATATTTATTCAAATGATATAAATATTGTATAAATAGTAAACATATTTTCAATTCAATATAATAATAATAATAATGAAAAATGATTTGTTTATTGCCATACCTTGAATGTTATAAAGATTATTGAAAGCACTCGATTGAAGCAAATTCCACCAAAAAGTGTTAAACATTTTACATTTATAGGACAATATATTTGTTAATTAAGTAATATATATTTTTTGTTGTCAATTATTTATTTAATATTTAAATAGTTTTTGATAATTAATCACTTTTTTGTTAGAAAAGTTTTTTTAAAAAAAAGGTTTTCAAATTAAATAGTTTTCTCATTTAAACATTGATACACAAGATTTTATATTATTGTACTTTATATGTAATAAAATGTTTGACAAAACTTATTAAAAAAAACCTTTAAACTATAAAATCAAACAAATGTCAAGAAAAAAAGTTAACTTTATTTATATATTTATGATAAAAGTTTAGAGAATATTGAAAAAAAACAAATATTAATACATTATTTATAAGAGTTGTATATTTAGTCAAAAAAACAATGCGATTAAAATGTTTCAATAATTTAAAAGCAATTTAAATGTTGTTTGCTTTTTATGACAAATATATGTCTAATTTTAAACAACATTGCAAACAAAGATTTATATACCAAAACTATATAACTATATATAAAAATTTATATACATATATAGTACAGTATATACCGTATGACACACACATGTATTTTATAGTTTTCATAAATCCCTGTCCCTATCGCTCATATACTTCATCGCTCATATAGTCTACTATACATTTGTAGGTCCTATTGTTTATCACCGTTTGATTATACAATAGGAGAGAGCCATCCATTCATCCAATCAGAGGCATAGCAGTGCAAAACAATACAGTATTTAAGCTAATCATTGAATTTTTAAACATTACTATTATTATTGGTATTATTATTATTATTATTATAATATTATCATTACTCAATAACTAACTCTCTTTCACATATTATCATCACATTTGAAAATATAGTAATTTAAAACTATAATATTATTTTGACTAAACTAAAACTAATAATAATAATAATAAAAATAATAAACTATTTATGATGTAACTTAAAAATTTTCTATAATAATAATAAAATGAATTTACGTTTTGGGATTTGTTTTCAATACTTTTATAAAAGCTAAATGTTTGATGGCTTATAATAATAATAATATATATAATACATGTATATTATTATTATTATTATTAATATTAATAAAGTAAAACTTCATTTATCCTCACTTTCCTTTGCTTTCTATATTTATATAATCTATTAAAATATTTTTATATATAAATTTCTATAGCATATAAAAGTGTTAAATAATGAATAAATATGAGTAATAAATTAATCACTGATCTCTCTCTCTCTCTCTCTCTCTCTCTCTCTCTCTCTCTCTCTCTTTCACTCACTCACTGATATCACAAGTTTGCAGTCAAACCAACAAATTATTAGCGAAACATAATATACTAAAAGGTATTAATGATAAAAATGGAAATGAATATCAACTTTTTAAAAATAAATATATTATTATTATTATTAATTAATGCACATTTAGCTTAACAGAAATCATTTTCATTAATAATAATGATATTATTAACTGATTATTATTGTTATAATTAAAACATATATATATATATATTAAAAACAAAACAGGAAAATATAGAAACAATATGTTTCTGAGGTCTCTCTCTCTCTCTCTCTCTCTCTCTCTCTCTCTCTCTCTCTCTCTCTCTCTCTCTCTCTCTCTCTCTCTCTACTAAACTATAGATTTATTGATAAGTTTCGTCAAACATTTTGGTGGTCCAATAAAATTACATTTTGTTACCCCCAAAAAATAAAATAAAATAAATTTTTCTGTAATTTATTTTATTTATTTTTTGTTGTTGAAAATTACACTTTTTTTGGTGACACAAAAGAAAATATTGGAAAACCTTTTTCCAACTATTATATTATTATTATTATTATTTTGTTTGATAATAATTTTCAACTGAAAAACTATTTTGCAATCAACAAATAATATATGGTATCAATAATACTGTACTAAAGTAGTGTATAGTTGCAGATCAACAAACAAAAAAATGTTTCGATAAAATTCAAAGTATTTTTCATTTTTGGATATATTTCTATTGACGGGTAGGAGTGGTTAGCTAACTGTTCATCCTTTTATCAAATCTATTGTTTAGTTGTATATATAAATGTGTGTATGTATGTATGTATGTGTGTGTGTGAGTAATTGAATGAGAGAGAGAGAGAGAGAGAAAGAGAGAGAGAGAGAGAGAGAGAGAGAGAGAGAGAGAGAGAGAGAGAGAGAGAGAGAGAGAGGTCTCCCTTATATTTAGTTTGTATGAGATTTTTAAATAGAAAATTTGATTTCATATTAAATTTTTCACAGGAAATTATCAAAACATTTTTAGTAAATTGTATATATAAATAAATAAATTGATTGTCCAAAATTTAATTACAAACTAATCATAACTAATATATAAAATTTATAATAGACATATACACAAAAAAACTATAATAATTGAAACATTTTGTCATTTAATTTCTTTTAATATCCATATATAGTTATGTCATTTTACTTTTTCCTTATATAGGAATATATATATAAAATTTATATATAAAGAGTAAATATACGGAATCTTTCAGGAAATCACAAAAAATTGTTATTCAAAAAAAATAATGTTATTTTTGACAAAATTTCTCGTAAAAATTATATTATCACAATAAAAAGAGATTAACAAATAATAATAATATTTCTTAAGAAAAATAATTTATATATAATATAAAATCATAAAATATAAAAAACAATTCATTAGAAATCTTGATTTGCTTTCCAAATTAAATTAAGTTTCAAATATAAGTTATATTATAATCTATTTAATATTTAATCATTAGTAGACATTCAATTAATATATAATCAATTAATATTATTTACTATAAGTATTCTGTGTGTAAAATCTCACATATTTTTCATAAAATAAATGATTTTTTTTTTGATAAATTAAGATTTTGAAATCTTTAATATATTATATTCATTAATAAATTTATAATAAAAAGAAATAAAATTTATATACTATTTATAATATGTAATATTTAATAATAATAAAAAATTAACTAATCTAAATTATATAATGTTGATGTCGATTAACATTCCGTTAAATAATTAAAATAAATAATTAAAAATTTATAGCTAAAAATAAAAAATTTTATATAAATATATAGACGTATTATAGATATACTAAAAACATTAATATTTTATTATAATATAAAATAATATTGTTATAAATTATTATGATTATTATACATAATAATTTAATGTATAAATTTAAAACAAACTAATATTATATATCTGTTTATTATTATCTTGATAATTAAATAAATTATTTCTCAAAATTTAAATTATTTGTAATATGGTTATCAAATAAAAATTGGATTTCAATAGAAATTTTATAAATAACAATTCACTAAATATAAATATTACAAACACACACACAATCTATCAATGATAGTCAACCACAAAAAAATTTCACACAAAAATATATATAATTTTTTAAAACCTATTGAATGTCTAAAAAAAATATTTTCAACTATAATTTAGTCGATAAAAAAATTCTTTACTTATGTTATTTCAAGAATATACTGATAAACTTTAAATTGATATCAAATATTATAGATTTTTAGCAATTTTATAATAATAATAATAATAATATTTACTGAATTCAATACATTTTACTTATTAGTTATCTGTGATATATACTAGTAGTAGTAGTAGTAGTAGTAGTAGTAGTAGTAGTAGTAGTAGTAGTAGTAGTAGTAGTAGTAGTAGTAGTACTGTAGTTGTGATTTTTGTTTGAAAATATTTTTGGTAAAATATTTGACTAAAATTTTTTAAAGAGAGAGAGAGAGAGAGAGAGAGAGAGAGAGAGAGAGAGTTGTCAAACTATTTTGCCATTCATGACATACCAGTGTCACAGTTTAAAACCAAACATTTTTCAAATATTTCATATAATAACAAATCAATGGATGTCAATGTGATGGCTAATGTTTGAACAAAATAGTTTAAATTTTAATGTTTATGTGGGTGTGTATGAAATAATTTGCTTATATATATAATATACTGTAGTTAATTAAGTCAATTATTAATAATTATTCTAAATAATAGAAATTAAAAAAAACAACTAATAATAATAAGTCTATTGAATTCAAAAATTTTTCTTTAAGTTAAAACTATTGAACAATTACTTTAAATAGCATTTGACGCCAATAGCTGTCAGTACAATAGCCATAGATTTTTATTGTTAATAATAAAATAACAGTATTTAAAGTATAAAACAAAATGCACAGAATCGGCTCATAAGTTTGTTTTTGCATTCAAATAACTTATTAATATTTTAACATTAATTTCAAGTAAAACTCTCTCTCTCTCTCTCTCTCTCTCTCTCTCTCTCTCTCTCTCTCTCTCTTCCTCTCCCTTTTCCTAATGCCTTAACATTTTTGTTTAACTAATTTACAATTAATGCAAATTATTTTTCTTTACGATTTTCTTTTTTATACATAATATTATTATTATATATATAAGTTTAATACATGAAAAGCAAAGCCGTGAGCCGTGTGTTTGATGAAAATTGTAGGCCTAATTAGGATGGCATAACATTTTCAAGTAGTATTTCAAGACATACATACATACACACACACACACACACACACACACACACATACATACATACATACATACACACATGATATGATGCACCAGCAAAAAACAACTTATCATATATTTATAATAATAATTAGGCATATTTTTAATTAACGCTTTAATAAATTAAAAGTCTAATTTTGGTTAAATTAGATTTTTGTTGTTGTTGTTGGTGTTGTTGTTAATACACATTTACAAATATATTATATATATAATATACTGTATTACAATTATATTTGTAATAAATAAATTTTAATTAATTTTTATTTATAAGATTTTATTTTAAAATTTCGTATCACGTTTAATACTATATATATATTCGTCTAATGCTAAAATTATTAATAATATATTTTTGGTTATTATTTGATTATTATTAATTTTTAATATACAAAGTTACAAATTACTAAAGTAAATAATAATAATAATAATAATAATTTTTCTGAAAATCATACAATTTCGAAATCTACTTAAATAAAAATTAAAAAATAAAATAAAATTATCAGCTAAAAGCTAATCAAATGTCGGGAATTTGACATTTAATTTATGCTTTTAAAAACCTAATTTAATAGAAACCATAGCTTACTAAATAAGTACTGTATAAATATATACTTTGTTTTTATATAAACATTAATTTATATATATATATATATATATACAGAAATACAGTGTTTTTTTAATTTAGTTAATCATCATTTTCAGTATACAATCATAATATATATATATATATACTGTATATATATATATATATACATAATATATATAGTCATATAAAATATGCCGACAAATGACGTGACGGCGCAAGACTTGGTCTTTATTAATCAAATGCAAGAATTGTTGCATTTTTGTTGTTTTTGTTTTATATTTGCATTTTAAATGTTAATGATTTCAATATAATAATAATAATAATAATTAACAAAAAAAATTAAAAAAATTATAGAAAGCTCCGAAACTTCGCAATTTATCATTTCATAATATACTATAAATATATCAATACTGTATATACCGGTACTATACTAGTAAATTATTTGCGCTATTAGTTAGTTATCATTATTAAAAAATTATATATTATAAATAACATAACCTAAAGCATTGGTAGTTTTTTTTAAATAAAAAAAGCTAACACTGGTGTTGGTGGCCAGTGGTTACTTGTACTCACCTCCCTTTCCTTCGGGATCTGGCGAATGCAGTGATCGTCTTTCACACGATGGCGAACGTATCGATTGGCCGCCACAAGATTGACCTATAGATTGGTGACACACACACACACACGCAATACAAAACAATAGATTTTTTTTAGTATAAATATATATATATAAAAAAATATTGTCAGAAAAAATCAATCAATGATTAGGTATGATCTAAGAAGTTATGTGTTTGTCTACTAACCTGATGGAGGACTGCCTGGAAATGACAGATTGGATGCACTGGTCATTGTCTCGTCTTCCTGATATTGGCTGCTAATACCAGTCGACGTCGACATTACTAATTGCTGTCCACTAGTAGTTGTCATTAGATTTTGGTGACAAATATTCATAGCTGTCGTCGCCGTCGTCGTTGTCGACTCGTTTGGCGCCTCTTTTGTCGACATGTATGTACCGGTTGTCGACTGACAGCTAACCGGCGATGATATACTACTGTCCATCGATTTTTGATACTTACAGTCAAAGTATGTACGCTCCGGTGTCTTGGCTTTGAATGCACCAAAACTTTGACTTTGAGCGGAACTACAGTATTGTTGCTGTTGTTGTTGTTGTTGTTGTGCTTTCATGAGCTGATTGTGACCGCTATTATCCATAAGACACAAGCCTTTCGGAAACTGTTCTTCACTTTTGATGTATTGTCTTTGACCGACCGTTTCCGCCACATTAGTAGTAGTAGTAGTAGGCCTTTGATCTGAACACGACTTTTGATGTGGCGTTGACTGAGCTAAATGTGCGATCATTGGCGCCATAAGCGAACAACCGTTGTTTCCATTATTATTATTATTAGCAGAACTTTCCTCGTAATTGGTTCGCTGTTGTTCATCACTATACATGTCGTCTTCAGTATCATTGTCCTCATCATCATCGGTAACGTCATTATTCTCATTAATATTATTATTATTATTATTACAATCTTTTTGTTGTTCCTGACTTTGATTTGACTGTATGTATGCATTGCACTGTTCCTCGATTTTCATCAGATTCTCCATTGCATTGAAATTGTTTTGACTTTTGTTTTGGTTGTTGTTGTTGTTGTTGTCGTCATCAGTAGTAGTCCCGATCTCTTGATATGAATGCCTCTTATTATTATTATTATTTGGATCATTGATCTCATCAGCAGTGGTCGTCGTCTCATTGATAGTCGATACCGACGCCCGACTATCGATGGGACTAAAGTTAACATTTTCGTCGTGACTACCGTCGGGTGTGACGGGCGGCGAATTGTGTGGCGACGGTTCCGATAGACTGCCGCAAGAACTGGATGAAGCGCTGAGTGTGACCACGTCTTTCCATGCATTGGCCACACCATCTGTAGCGCACTTTTCCTGTTTCTCCGACTCTTGTTTCTTAGCAAACAAATTCTCAAACATTGGTTTATCCGTTTCATCGACATCTTCCGTGTCCGTGTCGTCGGCATTGATATCGATATCACCGGTCAGACTTCTGAGCGCTGCCTCCGCTTCCTGAATACGTTTGGTGTCTTCGTCCATACCCTCTAACTGTTGTGGACTTAAATCGTCAAAAATTTCGTCCAATTTTTCATTTGAATCATTAGAATAGGTGTCAATCGACGGCTCATAAATTGTAATCTTATTTGCAATCGCTTTGGACCTACTTTTTGCAACATTTGCGGCTCGTGTCTGGATATTGTGATCACGACCTCTGGCTCCAGACTTGGCTAATGCCGTCGTAGTCGTCGTCGACCTATTTGTTGCCGTCGTTTGTCCGGTCGATGCGATTGCTGTTGACTTAGTCGTCGTCGTAGACGATGTCTGCTGTAACTCTTGTTTACTGCAATTACTATCTTTTGATCGCTTGTGGTGTTGATTACTAGTCGTTGTAGTCGTAGTTGTTGTCGTTGGACGTGACGAACGTGTCGATGTCGTTGAGGGACAACCAGTGGTACTGTCATTATTATTACTGTTATTATTATTATTATTATTATTACTTCTATTACTTATATTTGACTTCTTTGTTGTATTTGTTTTACTTAATTGTTTAGATTTATTAACGGTATTAACAGTTTTTGCGCTATTTTTACTATTATTATTATTGGCATTACTTGATTGCACTTTTGTTGAGGTATTACTAGTATTATTAGTATTACTTAAATTATATTTAGTTCCGGCTCTAGTATTCCTGCCGTGAGTGACCACTGGCTCCGGTTCGCTACTTTTGCCCCGTTTTGTGGCCGCACTTGTCGTCGTCGTCGTAGCCGTCGTTGTTGTTGTAGTCGCCGTCCGATGCGGACTCTGACTCGTAGTTTCCGTTTGCCGTCGTTTGGCAAAAGTTTTGGTCATTTTTGTTGATATATTGTTGTTTCACTATTCACTCACTCATACAACAGAATATTCTTTAATTCCCGAAAAAAGAAAAACAAACAAAACAAACAAAGTTGTAATAAACAAAAATAAGATTTATATATATATATATATATAAAATGCTAAATATTATACTATTATTGTTATTATTATTATTATTTTATATAATATTTAATAATTTAATCTTTATTTCTTTCTTTCAAAAAAGGCATTGATCTTTGCAGTGATAGATCTATTGCCCAAAAAAAAAATTATTTTATTTTTTTCTTGCTTTTCAAATCAACTAATAGTAATCAACTCAATCAGTAATATTAACTCACGTTTTTTGGCTTTGGTTTACGTTTTTCAGATCACTTGTTATATCCTATAAATATATATATATATTGCAAACACACTGTCTCTCTATCTCTATCTCACTGTATATGTCTATTGCTTTCATATCTCTTCTCCATCGATGTTAATGTAAAGTCATTATCCAACTGTGTGTATGTGTGTGTGCTGTATGTGTATACTTGTGTGTGTGTGTGAGCTATATATTAGTTGCGAGTGACCAACCAGTGCAGCACCCGATGGGTCACATACTTGGCTTAACTGAATAAATCAAATAAGGAAAGGCAAGAAATTTATATATAGATTAGTTATATATATAAATATTATATTATATTATATATATATGTAGTCAATTGTAAGACTTATCAATAAATAAAACCTAAATTTTATTATTTGCTGAAAACTATGCAATGATTAGTTAAGCAATAATAACAATAAATACTTTTATTTTACAATAAAAATAATATAAAGAAAAAAACTTTAATAATATACTATTACTGTAAAATTTATATATATATATATATAGTTAATCAATAAATACAGTATATCGCAAACGTTTATTATACAAATTTTAAATACAAACATAATCTAAAGTAAATATTTTAGACTTATTCAATATATTCATTATTTAATATATTAGATAATTTATAACATTATTCTTATTATAAAGCAATTGTCTAATATTTAATATTTTTATAACTTATGTATCACTTATATAAATACGTATATACAGTATATATTATAGCTATTATATTAATGTAAGTATATTTGTTATTTTAAAAACTCATCGCTTTAAAGTGTATGTACTATATATTTGCTTATAAACTTTATATATCAATCATAAGAAAATTTTAAAAAAGAAATATAAAAATTTTATTATGAAAACTAAAGTCACAAAACATTTACACTAATAATATCTTATATATATTAATAAAATTTTATTATATATACTGTATATACAGTAGTAAGTCTCATATGAGTATTGTTCAAATGAATAAATTTTATTAATAAAATTTATTTCCCTATAAATAATTTAATTATAACAAATATTGTAAATAAATATTTTATTATTTATATTAGTTTATTTAAATTCTATATTTATTTGAATTTCAAATTATGAATAAATAAAGCAATTATAATTTAAATGCAGTAAATAATATATATAAAATAATAATTCAATCAATTGAGAAAAAAAATAGCGCTAGAGATCCTCATTTTAGTATTATGGGTAATACTAGAGGTCCTGTACTACTACTTGACATTAGTTTACATTTGATATCTATGGTAATTAAATATTTGGTCAACTTTTTTGACACTACTCTTAAATTACGTTATCATATTTATTGCTTACACAATAGCTTAATAGCAATAAATATGATAACGTAATTTAAGAGTAGTGTCAAAAAAGTTGACCAAATATTTAATTACCATAGATATCAAATGTAAACTAATGTCAAGTAGTAGTACAGGACCTCTAGTATTACCCATAATACTAAAATGAGGATCTCTAGCGCTATTTTTTTTCTCAATTGATTGAATTATTATTTTATATAATAAAATTTTTAATTTATATCATTTTTTAAACATAAACTACTGTAAATATTTATTTTCCAAATATAAGAAATTTAGTAACAAAATATATTAATTAATAATAACCAATTAAATTCATGATATTGTTTATCAGTCATTTAAAAAACTATAATCAGAAATTGATAATTTAAATTTTTTTCTCTAAATGATAAGCCCTATCGGATAATATAATTTATATATAGAGTATCGCACTGGTAGTAGTAGTAGTAGTAGTAGTAGTAGTAATACCCAGTGCGATGGTTTATACTGGGGTTAAAACAAAACAAAAAATATTAGACAACAGAAGGGAAAGGGCTAAAGAGATATAGCAATAGGTTGGGTCTAAAGGCACCTTCAATGACAGTGACTGATTATCATCACCAATGGATTCAACGGTCTGTGGGACTCAAAGACATATATACGACAAATACACACACATTTATACAATATATATATATATATATCATATAACACAGTATATACAATAGATAAGTGTGTGTGAGTGAGTGTGTATTTGTATGTGTGAATTCACTGAACAATACAACTACCAGTGCTGTTGTTGTACACACACACACACATCAGTCTCCCTGAGTTTTATACAGTATATACTGTACTATACTATATTATATATATAAATATATATATATATATATATATATATATATGTTTTATAGATGTGTTGTGTCGATGGAACTTATACTATGCTCTCAGCGATACATTAGATAATTTTATATTAGGACTCAGTTTTTGTGAGTGAAATAAGCAAAGGATAGGATAGAGAGAGAGAGAGAGAGAGAGAGAGAGAGAGAGAGAGAGAGAGAGAGAGAGAGATCTGAAGAAGAAGGATTGGATCGTTTGAAAGGCAGAGACCAGACATTTATGTTGAAGAGTAGAAAAGAGAAGAGAAAAAAATGATGATAAGTATAATCTCGACGACGAAGACGAAGAAGTTTTCTTCGATATATGACTTCTACTACAAGTCCTACAGTTTCTTCCGTAAAATTTCTCTCTTTCTGTGTGTGTGTGTGTGTCTGAACTCACTGAACAATGAGATGATGGCTATACATACATATATGTGTCGTTAGTATTAGTAGTAAAAAAGAGTAGTTTAAAAAAAATATTTTCTGATATTATTATAAATAATAATAATGAAAATGATAACCTAATGTCTTGTTTTTTAAATAAAAAATAATATGCTATTTAACACAGAGTTTATTACACCAGTACTACTACTACTACTACTACTAGCATATAATCCATCATAATTTGGCGTTAAAAATTATTTTTTAATTTTTTTTCATATCATTATATTTAATTAGTCAAACCTAATAATTTTATCAGTCATAATAATAATTATGTAATAATATAATATACAGTATTTATATATATATATATATATTTTTAATATTAGAAAAATAATAATTGAATATACAGTACATAAAGTATTTTTTTCAAGAATTTTTTTCGAGAATTTTTTTCTCCACAAAATTAATAATCAAATTATATTGTATTAAAAAATATTTTCTATAATTTCAGTATCCAATAGAGTACAGTGTGTCATAATCTCAAAAATCTAATTTAAATATAGTTATGCTATTGTTTAATATATATATATATATATAGAATATTGATATATATATAAATTATAAATAACAGTACACTCACCCACTCACTCATTCATTCATTCAAGTAAACGCACACACAATGAGATTGATTACTAAAAAACTAGATTTTGACTAAAAGTTTAGAAATTTTTTTTTATTTTAATATTATTTGATAACAAAATCAAAACAAATCGTGGATTGCAACTCGCAATGTATAAAAAAAACAAAACAAAAATGTTTATCTCTATATTATTATTTGATTTGTTTTAAAGAAAGAAAGAAATAGAGAGAGAGAGAGAGAGAGAGAGAGAGAGAGAGAGAGAGACCAGAAAAGAGAGACAAACAAAATAACGACTGAAAAATGTTTAGAAGATTTATGATCAGTGAATATATGAGTTGACAACAAGTTTTTTTCTGGTCATCGAATTAAATGTGTGTATATATTACTGGAATATATTTTTGATATGTGTTTTATAATGTATTATATATATATAGATATGAATGACAAACGAGTGGTACACAAGTAGTCTTAATATTGCTTTTTTGATATTCATTTTTGTGTCGGTTTTTAAGAAAGAAAAAAAGAGAGTGAGTGAGTGAGTGAGTGAGTGAGTGAGTGAGAGAGAGAAAGAGAGAGAGAGAGAGACCACAAACTGATACAATATTTTTGTAATGTATAAAAATTATGTCTCTTATGCTACAAATCAATGATTTCTTGTTTTCTATGCACAAGATTTATGATCTTAAACTGTAATATAACGGAAAACGTTTAATATTCTCTCTCTCTCTCTCTCTCTTTGATAAAATAAAAATATCAAAAAATATATATATACTGATTCTGTACTCATACTAACTGTTTCGCATTATTTGTCATTATTTGAAAATAATTCAACTATGATTTTATAATATTTTTTTTATTTGAAAAATATACAATCAATGAAAATAATAATAAATAATAATAATAATAATAATAATAATACTAAATAATTATTTACCGTTAAATATATATATATATATATATATATATATATTGAATCATTGTATAAATTATCTTAATTATAAGCTAGCAATTTGCCAATCAATTTATTATAGAGATTATTTGGGCTAATGAATGGTAACAAACAAACAAATAAAAGTTAACAGTAAAACATAAGTATTGTCTCATAAATAAAAATAAATGACTGACACTACCAGCAAAAAAATATTCACACATTAACTTTAGCTAAGGATTCATATAATAGCCGACATAAACACATACACACACACACACACACACACACACACACACACACACACACACACACACACACACACACACACACACACACACACACACACACACACACACACACACACACACACACACACACACACACAAAGATATAGCAAAATCCATTGTGCAAGTGTTGTGTCATTGAGACGGCTATTAGTGTACTAACAGCTAACAACACCCAATGAACTACTGGTGCCAAATGGGAACCACTTAAGGTCTATCATAAAAAGGATGGCACTGTTTAATGAGGCACCACATCTCACTATATATAATTTATGTGGTAGGTGATAATATAAAAATATTATATATATATGTTGTATATATATGTTGTATATATATATTATAAGATATATCTCTTGTATGAAATATATAGCTTTTTATAAATATATATACCGTATATACAATATGAAAACTAATACCTAGTATACTGTACTCGTATAGTGTAATCATTGGGAACCGACAGTTATTAATGCCGACGCAATCGCATCGACCGTAATATTAACGACTACGACAACACTGTAGTAGTATAACTGTATTGTTGTTGTTTAGGGCATCCCTTCAGGTCCAGCATATAAATGCCTACATCATTACACAAGTGCATCGCCAATACAAAAGACACTGGCGTTCACAAGGAAAGGCATATATATATAGATATATATTAGAGATGCGAAGGGAATACAAGATCTTCAATGAATTCAAAGCTGTGTGTGTTTATGTGTGTATATGTATGTATGTATGTATGTATGTGTGTGTGTGTGTGTGTGTGTGATGTTTTGAACTGTTATA